AAACCAGAGAGAGATGCCTCGAGCCCCTGACCATAACTTTATCTTTTCACTTCCTGAACTACTTTTTGTTGTTGTTGTTAAAATAATGCAATTAAATGGTTCAAAAACTGAAAAGGTACAAAAAGATCAAGTCCCTGCTATCTGTGTCCCTAGTTGCTCAGCTTCTTTCAAGCAGTGCCGGTGACCTGTGTCTTGGGTCTGCTTCCAGAAGTTCCACACACACAGCTTTAACACAGCACCACTGTCAGCATCCTGCCTAGTGGCCTTTCCAAGCCAAAGCCCTGTGTGTGCTTCCCAGAGTGAGCACCACATAGGTGAGGCTTCTGCTCAAATGCAGCTGCTCTGGTCACCCATGTTGTTTTGAGGCTATACTCAAGGCTCCAGAGGACATCAGAGCTGGAAGGGACATAGGGATCTAAAGCCCACTCCCTGTGTACACCCACATAGAGGGTTGGTGACTTAAGCAGGCATTGTGGCTATCTGGTTGTATACCCAAGTATGGAGCCATTGGTGCTTTTATTTGCACCAGGACCGAGGGGAGCCTAGTGGCCATTGGCAGGAATGATGAAGAAGAAGAGCTCATGCTTTGGGGTCACTCTGGCCCCCACCTGCAGGTCATAGGCCAGACAGTGGGGATGGGCAGGAGTCCCACACTGCCTTCACCCTGCCCCACTCTCCTCTTCCCTGCAGGCTCCCTGGCTCTCCTGTTTTTGGAAACCTCTGCCTCCACTGGGTGCCCTGGTCCTGCCTCCATGTACTCTCACCATCCCCTCGGCCCTGCCAAGTGTGGCTGCATTCGCCGGGAAGGGGCTGTCCTCACCAGCCTCTCCCACTCCACTGCCTGTTCCTTCAGCTCCTTCCTGCAAAGCCAGACTGAATTTTCTGCTGTGAAGAAGAAGCATAAGTATTGTGGACACCCTTGACCTGAAGACATAGGAGCCTCAGAAGAAGGGGGTGCAGTAAAGAGAATTACAGGCTTTTATACAGGACCCGCCCCAAGAAGCCTAGAGGGTGGGGGTCACCCCTCCCCCCACAAGAGGCTTTGGAGAGGTGGGCAGAGTAGGGTTGGCTGTTTGGGAGAGTAGAGCTCCAGGGCCCAGCTCTGGCACAGTGGTCAGATAATGGGACAGTTTCTTCTTCCTCAGTGGCCTCCTGCTATCTCTTTCCTGTTTCTGGAGAAATCATCCTGCCTGCTGGATTGTGACATGCTGCGTGCAGCTGACCTTCCTGGGATTGGGACTGAGGAGAGGCACCCACGAGGCACTTGCCTATCCTTCCATGAGCTGAAGCTACGAAGCTTGGTCAGATGCAGACATGAGGGGGCTGAGCTCCCCGCTGGGCATCATGGCTGCCAAAGGCTGGTGGGGCCTGGCCTTGGGGTCAGGGGCAGTTGGTGCCTGAGGCGCCTCAGCCTCTGAGGGCTGAGGCCATGTCAGCAGCATGTGTGTCCCATACCTCCAGCATCCCTCACCTTGCACCCCCAAGCTGCCAGCATCCTGACCAGCAGCATTGCTGCAGTGTCATGGGAGCCAGTGCAGAGGGTCCTCATGCCCCTTGCTTCACCAGCCCTCAGAGGAGGGAAGAACTGCTCAGCAGACAGGGCCTTGGCGACTGTGTATACTCCCCTCCCTCAGCGTTTCCCAGCCCGGGGCTCTCAGTGCTGGAGGCAGCCCAACTCCAGGCAGGAAGAGTGTCCCCCTCCCTGGACAGCTCTGGCCAGTGGATAGCTCCTGATGTGCTAACTAGCGTCAGCTGTGTGCTGAGGCCCCAGCTATGTATCCTCATTCCTCTCAATCAACGGTGATCATGTGATTTTTCATTTCTGCCCCATGCGGTCAGGGAAGAGTCTTCCAGAAGGTTCTGCCTTGGACATTCATAATCTAGCTCAGAGGCCTTGCCCTGTACCTCCCTCCTTCCCCGAATCACTGCAGTGTCCAGCCCAGTGTTGAACAGATTGTAGTGTTTTGTCTCATTACAAATAAATAGATTTTATCTGGTCACATCCTGTTCCCAGTGCCCAGCTTGATGCACTCTGGGCCCTTCTCCTGTGTCTTCATCTGGGAGAACTGCTTGCTACTGCTATCCTGAGGATGGCTTCTGATTCTGTTAGCCTTGCCAGGGAACACAAGCCAGTGAAGGGCTTCCAGACTTGAGAGCCACAGCTGGACTGTTTCTTAAAGGGACTTCAACAGCTACCCCTTTCAGTCTGGTCTGGCTCCCTGGCTCTTCACCTTCAGCTGGGGCTGGTCCACAAGGGTAGCTCCCCTGAGGGCTCTCTCTTAGTTTGGAGAAGCTTCACAGACCAATTCAGCACCATAGCAGAGGCTATGGGCCAGCGATGGGAGTCTGTGACAGGTGCCCACCAGCCTGTCCTTGAAACCTTTGGCCACCCCCAGAAGGATTATGTTTGCTTCCCCATTAAGCAGGTGAGGAAAGCTGGTTTGAGGCTGAGAAGTTACCTAAGAGCTGCAGTTAAGTAATGGGTAGACCCTCTGAAGCCCAAGTGTGCTCCTCTGTTCACATACCTCCAGTCTCTGCCAGCAGCAGGGACATGCTGCTTCCTGAGGGTCCTCCCTAAGAAGTGTCCATTGCCTACAGAGTGGATTTGGGAGAGGACTGGTATCACTGCCAGAGCAGGAGGCCCTGATGGTGCCCAGGAGGTCAGGCAGCTGGGCACGAGTACCTGAGGCGAGTAGAACCAAATAAGACTGTTGAGCTTGGCCCTACCAGAGTGCCATGCTGCTGAGGCTCAGCCTTGGTTATTTAGGCAAGAACAACTATCATCCTTGCCTAAAGTTGCTGAGGGGTCAACTTTGGGATGAAGGGGTGACTCCAGAGGCCCTTGGTCAATTGTGTGTCCAAGAATTCAGGGATTCTGCTACAACCCACCCTGAAGGCAGCTATTACCCTCTCAGCTGGCCTCCTAGCCAGTCACAGAGACTGCAGGGACTGTCCTCATGGTACCTGCTATAGCAGCCCACCCCTCAGACCACAGTCTGGTCATCTACCTCCCAGGAAGCAAGAGGTTCACACAGTTACCCAGTCTGAAGAGAGCCAGCTCTGCCCCTGGCTGAGGGGGGATTTCCCAAGAAATGGCTGCATTTCTCCCTCCTGGGAGGGCTCAATATACTCAATCCCTGTGTATATCACCCAAGGATCTTTTGCAGGGCCAGCTTGAAGAATCTTAGCAGCCCTCACAAGGGGCCCCATACTTGTAGAACAAGTGGGAAAGGCTTGTCACTCAGAGCCCAATCCACCAACATTCAGGAAATTACATGCAAAGGGTATGCCCACAGTCACATTTCCCCAAATGTCTGCTTGTTGGGGACATGTAGGGTGCTCCTCCACATGAACCCGTTTCCAGAACACTATGACAGTGAAGTTTTCATACTGTCATCTTAAGTTGAGTGCTTTTCAAGAAAGCTTGTGCAAAGTGTTTTGTTTTTTTGGTACCAGGGATTGAACCAAGGTGCTCTACCACTGAGTTACATCCTCAACTCTTTGGGTTTGATTTTTTTTTTTTTTTTGGTACTGGGGTTGGAATCCAGGAGTACTTACCACTGAGCCACATCCCTAGCCCTTTATTATTTTTCATTTTGAGGCAGGGTTTCACTGAGTTGCTTAGGGCCTCACTAAATTGCTGAGGCTAGCTTTGAATTTGCAGTCTTCCTCCTGCCTCAGCCTCCTGAATGGCTAGGATTACAGGTGTGTGCCACCGTGCCCAGCCTTGTGCAGGTTTTAGAGAGCAACTGTCTAAAGGCCAGTTTGGAGCCAGCTCTCTCTGGGCTAGCACGTGGCAACAGCAGATGTCTTTCCTGGGGGAAGACATGGGCTAAGGCTGCAACACTGAGCATGGCCTAGACTGGTTTCCAACTGTGTAGCGGCCTCAGAAGAATCAGCTCTACATGACCATTCATCTTTACAGGATCTCTCCCATAGCACATGGGGAAACAGCCAGGCCTTCTTACCACCCAAACGTGACATCATGTCACTTTCACATTTTACTAGTAAAGCAAGACCCAGAGCCAATCCCTATACAAGGGGAAGGGACTGTACAAGGGCCTTAAGACAGGGACACATGGCTTATCAGGAGTAACCCAAGTGGCCACTGACTGACCACAGCCTGAGCATCACAAGGTCTGAACTCTGGGGCAAAGTGCTCCTAAGCCTACATTCTTGTTGTTCAAAAGTGAGGGGATCTGTTCCTTGTTGGTTTCCAAGGATCTGGGATTGCCAGCTTTTACCTAGCACCCTTGAGAGCAGCCTCACAAAAGCTTTGGCAGGTAGCAGGGGCAGCTGACTCTTGTGTTTCCTCAGCTCCTTCCTAAAATCTGACTTGGATAGTTCTCTCTCAGGCCCATCTGGCCTCCAAGTCCAGGAAGAGTTGTGGGAGAGGATGAAGGCAATGGCTCTTCTGTCACTCAGTGGGTGACCACTGGAACCAGGGTGCAGGGAAAGAGACCTTTCTCGCTCCCTGACACCACCATGTGTGTTCCGGCAGGAATCTGAGGTGGGCTAATGCTCAATCCTAGCCTAACCTGAGCTGCTCAGACTGAAAGTAAGACAGATAGGCAAGGGCCACTAGAGCAAGCCCCTCTCCTCAAAGTACTGAGCCCCATGGTATAGAGCAGGGATTCCCAACCAGAGCAGGTGTGTCCCCCAGGGGATGCTGAATGATTTCTGGAAACAGGGTGGCACCACAGCAAAGACCAATCCAGCACCAGGCCCAGCAGTCTGTTCAGATACCCAGGTAGAGAGGAATCCCACACCCAGTGCTTGCATCCAAGGCCAGCACAGAGAAGGGTGGTGCCTGTTCTGCTGGATCCCAAGTTCTCAGTGGGGATTGTGCAGGTTCCAGACCAACATTCCTGCCTCAGTTGCTCTCCTCTCAGCACCTTCCTGAAACCCAACCTCCTCTCCTTGCCCCTGGACTTGGAGTTTACACAAGGCTATTTTTCTGACTGAGTTAGCCTGATGACAGACACACACAGACAAGAAGGTACAGGCCTTGGCTTTTACTGAGCTTAGACCTGAGGGCTCCCTGGCCTCTCAGGAACCCGATTCTCTGCTCTGCCTGGCCTCCTAGGTGCAAGTGGCTGACTGGAGTTTGAGCAGGCTGCAAGGGCAGGGCCATGCTTCTATTTCTTCTGTCCCTCCCTTAGGACCTCTTCCTCCCTCCCCCTTTGCACTCTCCTGAGCTGGCCCAAATCTGGTGCTGGGCAGCTGTGGGGCTGTCTCATTGGGCAGGGCTACTGTGCGGTCTGAGCCCTTCCTCTTTGGACCTGCCTCCTCTTCCTTGGCTATCCTTCCCCTCTGTCCCCAGCCCTGGAATTCAGGATCCCTATGGCCTCTCCAAGGCCCCAGAGCGGGTTCTCTTGCACAAGGGACACATGGCCTCCTCCAAGGCTCCCCAGGACCTCTTGGGCCTGAGCCCCAAGCCCTCAGGGGGACCTGGCTGGGCAGGGGCACCCTTGGCTGGGTCCATGCTGGAACTGGAAGCTGAGGAAAGAGGAAAGAGAAGAGTCACTCAGACCTCAAGGGAGACTGGCAACCCACCCTACAGTTCCCAGACCCTGACACCTTCAAAACAGAAGGGATAAATGGCATTTCTTCCTTGGGAGAACTGGGGGAAGGAAGTGGGAGGTGAATGGTTCAATCTGGAAGGACCCTCACCTAACCTGAATGCCTCATTTGACAGATGGACAAACTGAGGCTCAGGAAGACAGGGAGTTGTCCAAAGTCCCTCATCACATGCAGAGCTAGAACAGGAACCCAGAACACTCAGTCCCCGAGCCTTCCCTTTGCTTCATACCCCCTTGCCCTGATACACTCCATCCCTGACCCAGCTGTACACCACCACCACCACACCAAGACCCCATGGGCCCAGGAGTTTTGTGACCTGGATACATTGATGGCCTTAACCCAATAATAGGGTACAGGGATGGGGCAGATTCACCAAGATCTGAGCCTCTGGAGCATAACACCTTGGTATCCCACCCTAATCCCTGGAGAAGCCCCATTTGAGTTCCTGGGATCTACCCCTCCTGTCCCCATTCTTGCCTTAGCAGAGCTCACCTGTATCTCCCAGGCTGTCCCTGGGTAGTTGGGCTTCCAGAAGGGCTGAGCAGTGGTTGTTACCTGGGCCCAGAGTCCCCTGTGGAAGGTCCAAGGGCCAGGCTGAGCCCTCAGGCTGTGGTAGGTACCCCCCAGCCAGAAGCCGGCCCAGCCAGTGACTCTCGCACTGGCCTGCAGGCTGCATATGGCCTGGCAGGTAGAGAGCCAGGCTCCGGAGGTGGCGCAGCCGGAAGTTCTTGGGCTTGTTTCCCTGGGCACTGGGGCACTGCTGCTGCTGGGCCCCCAGGCCCCCCTCGTAGATGTTGGGTGGTGTATCCAGGTGACTGGGGCGTCCTCGGGCCCAGCTCACTGCATCTGCAGGGGAAGGGCAGGAGGGTGGTGGCCAGCTGGTCCAACATCCATGAGGGGAGAATGCAGGTACCTGTCTCTAAGACCAGCTCATATTATGGGCTCCTCCCCCAGTCTGCCAAGCCTCAGCTTACTTGTCTGCCAAGTGGGCTTGGTTTTCTGCCTCCGCCCTGCCCATTGCCCATTACCCCTCTTCACACCCCTAAACCAACAGGGAGGCCTAAAGCCTGGGACTGAAATCCCTTTTAGCACTTCAAGCCCTTTGTGCCCCCTACCCTAGAAAGAGAATTCTGGTCTCAGTATAGAAGTTGCACAGTGAGTCCACGAGGCAGTGACCAGCCTAGAGTCAAATGGCTTGAATCAGTGCACATTTTCCTCTCCCAAATATGCATGTCCCTGAGGCCACCCCAGTGGCTTTGAGCCCTAGCTGGGACAAGAGGGCATCTGACCTGCCACTCTTCCCCATAGCCCAGCACCTTCTCTTATGCGCAGCTCAGAGAACGCACAGACCAAGGCTTCCATGGAGGGCCAGTATGGTGGGGAAAGAGTGGCCAGGCCTTGTGCAGCAGGGCCCTGCTCTGCCCTGCCTGAGGGGTGGGTGTGCAGGTCTCCCATGACAACTGGCTCTTATGATGTCACAGGGAAGACTCCAGCCTTCCTGGACCCCTAGTTTGGGAAAGGATAATGCCCAGGGCAAAGTCAACATGGGAGGAGGGCATGGGAGGGGACTAGAACCCCATAGGAAGTCCCTGTTTGCTCTAGCCTGGCAGACTGGAGAGTTGTTCTCTGGGGTGACCTTTGGGGAACTTAGCTTCCTCATCTCCGGATGGGAAATGAGGCCTTGGTGAGTCCTGGATCGATGCTTTGACTGGGCCAAGAAAGTGGTTATGGGTGACTGGCAAGTCACTTCACTGGTCTGTCCATTTTCCCTTAACTTTCTGAGTAGTGTGTAGATAATACCAACTGTTTATAAGGGTGTGGAGAAAGAACCTGGAACTCTCATATACTGCTGTTGGGAATGTAAAATGGTACAATTATTTTGGAAAAGTGCTTGACTGGTTTCTTGAACAGAATGGGCTGGAAGCGTGGCTCAGGGATACAGCATGTTCTTAGCATGTGTGAGGCCCTGGGTCTGGTCCCCAGCACGACAAAAAAATAAAAAATAAAGCACAAAAAACACGTTCACTTTTCTCTATTGATAGATAGAGATCTTGTGTATGCAAAAAGCTTATGGATGTCATAGCTAACTAAAGAATCCACACACACTAGAAAGAAAAAAAGGAAGAAGGGAGGAAAAAAAGAAGGAAGAAAGACAACAATCTAGGGTTGGGGTTAAAGAAAAGTTTGGCAAAGTCTTAGGAAAAAAGGTCAACACACAAAAGTCAGTTGTATTTCTACACATGAGCAGAGTACAGAAAGAATGAAACAGGAGCAAATTTAACCAACACTACATGCTAAAAAACACTGCTGAGATAATTGACAGAAAACTTAAATAGAAAAGCATTCCATGTTCATAGATTGAAGACTTGATATGGTCAAGACGACAATATTTCCCTAAGTATTCAAGACAACCCTTATGAAAATGTCAATGGGTTTTAGATAGTGTATTAGGGTTGCCAGAGAAACAGAATCAATAGTGTATATACAGCTATTTAAGAGAAGATTTATTAGGGGAATTGGCTCATATGATCATCAAGGCCAAGAAGTCCCACAATATACCATCTGCAACCTGGAAAACCAGGAAAGCCAATGGGTCAATTCAAGTTTAAAGGCCTGAGAGTGAGGGTGGGAATAGAGATGGCATTTGGTATAAGTCTAATATCCAAAGGCCCCAAAACCAGGAGCTCCAATGTCCAAGGACAGAGGATGGATGTACCCACTTAAACTCTTCCTTCACTTTTCTAATTGGACCCCAGTGGACTGGATGATGTCTACCCATTTTGGTGAGGGCCACCTTGTATTATTCAGTCTACAAATTCAAATGCTAATTTCTTCTGGAACCACGCTCACAGACACACCCAGAAATAATGGTACACTAGTCATCTGTTCGTCCCTTAGCCCAGTCAAGATGACATATAATATTGTTATAGGAAATGGAAAAACATCCTAAAATTTATATGGAATTACAAGGGAGCCCAAATAACCACAAAAATCTTGAAAAATGAAAATGCAGACTGAGGGCTAACAGCTTCTGATTTCAAAACTTACTACAAAGTTACAGTAATCAAAACAGTATAAAACTGGCATATATCATTCATATATACACACACAAACACACACACACACACAGATGGGCTAGAGAACTCAATTAAACCTATACATCTATGGTCAATTGATTCTGACAAGGATGCCAATATCTTCTTTTGTGAAGCATCTGTTTATATTTTTTAATTATATTATCTTCTCATTTAGTGTTTGAGAATTTACATATTATGGATATGTCTTCTGTGACATTATTTTCTACGAAACTGTGGCTTGTCTTTCTGTTTTCTTAATGGTTTGTTAAATAAAATTTATGGGGGGGGGTTATGTTAATAGACCAGATCAAGCCCAAATGGAGTCATTGATACTAGGTGCTACATAATCAAACTGAGTTTGGAAATGAACCTGGTTTTCCAAAAAACAGGAGATTCACAGCAACCAATCATAAGCAACCCAGTTGACCTGAGTCAACTTGATAAGGAAGTGCTCTTTGCTTTAACCCACACAGGGAAAGCAACCTGCTGCCAACCAGTCCTCTCCTTGCTTTATGTCATTTCCTCCTTGTTCCTCAAGATACCTTAAAAACTCCACTGTTCTGCCATGCCCATTGCAGCATCTAGCTCAGAGAAGGGGTGCTACCCATTCATGAATCCCTAACGGATGTCAGTTTGATCTCTAAACCCAATTTGATGAAAAAGAATTTAACCATTCCTTTTGAAGAGCAAATTTTAATTTGATGAAGTCCAATTTATCCCAAAGAAATTTTCTGAGGTTGTACTCTTTGTATATCTACAGAATCCTGCCTAACCCAGACACAAAGCTTTTCCCCTAGGTTTCGGTTTTACATTTACATTTGTGATCCATTTTTAATTTTTTTTGGGGGGGGTGGAGCACTTGGGATTGAACTCAGGAGCATCCAATCACTGATTGGGCCACATCCCCAGCCCTTTCTTAGGGCCGATACCACAACCCACAGCTTACTTATTTGCCAGAAGTTGCTTAGCACCTGGCTTTTGCTGAGGCTGGCTTTTTTTTTTTTTTTTGTAACATATTTTTTAGTTTTAGGTGGGCACAATATCTTTATTTTATTTGTATGTGGTAGCTGAGGATCGAACCCAGTGTCCCACTCATGCCAGGCAAGCACTCTACCTCTGAGCCACAACCCTAGCCCCACTGAGACTGGCTTTGAACTTGCCATCCTCCTGCCTCAGCCTCCCAGGCCGCTGAGATTACAGGCGTGCGCCAAAGCGCCCGACTCATTTTTAATTTTCGTATATTGTGCAAGATAAGAATGGAGGCTTACTTATTTGCCATGGGTTTACAACTGCTCCAAAACCGTTTGTTGAAGACTATTCTTTATCCACCTAAATGCAGGTTGGACTGGCCACAGATGCGAGGCTCTGGACTGGGCCAATACCACAACCCACCGACAGAGGGCGTCCTTGGCCCGGCGTCGCCTCACTTCGGGGTTTGCCTTCCTCTTCGTCCACCCTACCAGACTCAGCTAAGTTCATCTCCCCAGCGCTTCCTCGTCGCCTCTCTGCCCTGTGGTGGTCGCCAGGGAGGGATCCCTGCGGCGCCCCGGGAAGACACTGCCGCGACATTCTGCGTCCTGGCAGGACCTCGTAGCCTCCTTGCGGTCGATCCCCGAGGAATCCGCCAAGGTTGTCACGACAACTGTCAGACGATTTCCGGCCGGTCGTAAAAACCGAGGCGGCTGCGCGTGCGCGGGGTCCAGGATTGTCTACCTCGAAACCTCCACCCCTCCGTGCAGCCGACGCTTTTCGATGGCCTCGGGCGCGGGCCCTGTGTGTATGTCAGAGAGGAAGTATGCTGTAGGCAGGACCCAGAAGGGGCACCCCACGTCATGAGAGTACGCTCTGTACAGAAGTGAGGAAATCGAGGCGTGTGGGAAGTGCCTAGAACTCTGTGGAACACAGAGTAGGCATTCAGAACACATCAGCGGATGCCAAGTGTTCGGAAAGCGTGTAAAAGGACTCAACTCGTCAAGCCCGCGGCCCTAGGCGTCTTCCGTGGCGTCCCCTGCAGACTTTCCTCTTAGTGCGCAAGCGCGCGTCACGACCTGTTTGGCCTAGTCCGCACGCCGTCTAGTGACGGTGTGTTGCCATAGAGACCCGCGAGTGCTGAGGGGAGGGCGACGGCAACCGCGGCTCCTGTGAACCAGAGCGCCATGTCTTTCCGCGACCTCCGCAGTAAGGCCGCCCATTCCCCCCGTGCCCGCGGGTCTTCCCCGCCTGGTCCCCACGCTACCACGAGCCCCCTCCCCGAGAGCGCCTTGATCTGGAAAGCTCGGTGTGCCCTTCCTCGTGTGGCTGCCGAGCACCTGAAGTGTAGGGAGCGGCCGGGGGACCGGCCTTACGGTTCCTCGTGAACTCACTCGTTACCGAACAGCCGCCTCGGAAGGTGCCCGCGAAGCGCAGACTTCCGAGTCGGGTCCGCTCGGCGCTGTGCGGGGAGACACGGCGACCGCAGGCGGGGGCTGGAGGATGGGCTAATGCGGCTGGCACTTTTTGAGTTTTCAGGTTCTGCCTGGTACTTTTCAATGTGTATGCATGATTTCCTTAGCCCTCTGGACAGTTCTGTGCCCCTCGTTTAGAGATGAGGAAGGCGGCACGGAGAAGGCCGGTAGCTGGGACGAGTGACAGGTGGTAGCAGGTCGCGCGGGGATGGGATACAGCGTGTGGGAACTCCAAAGCCCACGTCCTTCTGAAAGGGCTGGCGAGAAGGGACTCCACGCCTTTGCCAGAAGGGCAGGGCCGGGCAGCCTGGGGCAGGGTGGAGCGCGGAGTGGGTCCCTACCCCTTGAGGGGCGCCTGTTATTCACCAGGAGTTTTCATTCACTGACTTGCTCTAGTCCTCACTTTAGCGGTGATGTGGTTTGGTAGATGAAATATTTTGAAGCATAGAGAGGTAAAGTAGCTTGCTTTAGGTCACACAGCTAGAACTGGTTGCAGCAGAGGATTAAGACCTAGGACTGTGTGACTCGTTTTTTTAAAATTATTTTTATTTTTTTTTAGATGTAGATGGATACAATATCTTTATTTTTTATTTATTTTTTTATGTGGTGCTGAGGATCAAACCCAGGGCCTCACATGTGCGGGGCAAGCACTCTACCACTAAGCCACAATCCCAGCCTCTTGTCTTTTATACACAGTCATTTTCTGAATCTGAAGCCGTTAAGCTAACTGTCCTCACCTGCAGAGGAGTACTAGGTGATTGTCAACCTGCAGTCTCTGAACTCTTTTTCTCATCAAATTGCTGGTGTCTGTAATTTCAGCATTAGAGAATACTCTTTTCTGTTATGAAATTCTCTTTCTTTGGTCTACATATACAGGAAGACTAATCACATTTCATTGACGCACCTCTTAGCGTTGTGGGATCACATCTTCTGGAATGAGAGAGAGTCTTTGGTGACTACATTGTAAAGACAGGTGTCTCCTACTGTGTACTTTTTGGTGGGGCCACCACTTTGCTAGGGGACATTGAATAGGGTTGTGCTGGGGAAAGTGTAAAAGAGGGATTCAGAATAAAATTCTGAATGCTGTGCAATCGTGCAGTGTATGGTAACAGTCTCAAGTTAGTCTCCATTTGACAAGAAAAATGCAAAATTAACAGAATTTGACCACTAATAGTAGTCCTTAGCAAGAAGAAGTATTTCAGCAATGCCTGTGATGAGAAAGCTGCTGCTTTATTTTCTGTCTATTCAGATTTTCAAAAAAGAGTCACAAAGTGACTTCTTTTCCCTGTGCTCAAACCTTGTCTTCCACTATCTGGTAGAAGCCGACCTGACTCTCAATATCCAGGTAGGTAGGTTATTTGTGAATGTCATTGGGACATTTGGAACATCCCTCTTCAGGAAGAATGAGGACAAATATTACATAGTCAGGAAGCACATGGAAAATTGGTCTTGGCACACTATGGAAACTCAAAAAAATGTTGATTGTGTTTGTTTCCAAATCTTGATCTGTTGTAAGTACTATGGCTTTTCCTGAGGCATTCCCAATCTAGGAATTACAAGAAGTGTTAGCAATACTATTTCTTAATCTGTTTGATAATCTAAATATTGCTCTATTATTGAACTGCTCTCTTTAACATTTTTCTGAATACAAGGAAATTAATTAATCTTTAAAATTTGTGTTATTAAGATCCTGTATATTCACACACAAAAAGACAACTCAGAAACATGAAGTTACCCTACCCTACCCCCCATAACTGCTGTTAACATTTTAAAATATTCTTTCCTTGTTAGATTTTATAAGGCCAAGTATTTCTTATTTTGAATGGTAAAGAGATAATCAGAGAAAAATTAAAGCCACAGCTAATCCCTAAAGCCCATTTTCCTATATAGCATCTTCTCCCATTGGACTTGAGTAGATGTTTTTCCTGGTAACAGATTAGGTATTTTCAATTTTATCTCCTTTTTTCCTTCCCTCTTAAGAATTGCTGAATAGCCCCTAAAGCTGTTGGTAGATTGAGAATAAGAAGGGAAAGCAGAGATAATATCTAAGGTAATAAGCAGTTGCCATTTGGTGAAGAACTGACTGAATTATGTTTTTTCTTGGACAGATTTCACAGAGATGATGAGAGCCCTGGGATACCCACGACACATTTCTATGGAAAATTTCCGCACACCCAACTTTGGGCTTGTGTCTGAAGTGCTGCTCTGGCTTGTGAAAAGGTTAGGACCACACTTGAAATCTAAGGATGAAGGCTAGATTTTATTAATTAGCCAACTGTAAACCAGGTACTCTTGTGATGCAAGAGTTTAGTACAACTTGAATTTGTGACCTGTTGAGAATTGGCTGAATTCAAAGAACACCCCAGGAAGGGAATGTTTCTCTGTAAGGCATTTATGTAAGCTCCTCTTCATCCCTTCACCACAGAATGTCATGGACCTCCCTGCATACTTGGGGTGTACTGGATTAGGAGTATCTTAGGTTTCTTTTTGTGTCAAAAAATCTGAGATGATTCATGTTAGAGAACTTTTGTCTAAAGGCCAGATAATAAATACATGTTACTTATGTATAGGATATATATATTTATGTATATTTATACATATCTATTCCCTGTGTATAGAAAATATACTTTTTTTGTCTTTAAAATGTAAAACACATCCTTAGCTTGCAAGCTAAACAAAAACAGGTTGAGGGCTGCAGTCTGCTGGCCCTGGTGAATTATCAGTAACTCAGTGAAAGTAACTTCAACAACTCTGCTCCTTCTCCAGGAGAACTGTTTAGTCCTAGTATCTATGGTCAGTATCAAGGGCTGTTAGCTAGAGTTACAGTTCTGATTATTTTCACCAAACATTGAGATTTGACATAGATTTGATTTTGTAAGCTGAGCCCCGTGTTTAATTTTTAAATCAATTAAATGTGTTGTTAGGTGGGAGTTTGCCCTTTAGGTATTTTGTGTTGCTTTTGAAGTTTTTCTTAACCATATTACCTTATCTGAAGACTTGGAGAGCCACTGTCCTTTCAGTTGCCCACTTTCTCTTGAGGACTTCTGTTGGACTTACTTGTTTATACTCTGTCATAGGTATGAGCCCCAGACTGACATCCCTTCTGATGTTGAGACTGAACAAGACCGAGTTTTCTTCATTAAGGCCATTGCCCAGTTCATGGTTAGTTCATAGTTATTTTGTGGAATTAAATAAATTAGGGACAAATTTTAGTTAGATTTGCTTTCAAATTGAGTTTACTTTCTAAAACCATTCCATTGCCAGGGTTCTGTGGAGCCAATTCACAAAGAAGCTTTTTGTTTTTTAATTAATTACTATTTAAGATTTTTGCTTATTTTATTTTTAAATTTAATTAGTTTGATACTGGGGATCAAATACAGGGCCTGCTGCATGCTAAGCACATGGTCTACCACTGAGCTGCACTCTCAGCCCAGTTTATTTTTGAGTAGACAATGTATTTCATGGTTTAAAATTGCTAAAAATCATGAAATTACATAGAATACTCTGACTCTTTACCCTGTCAGCATGGTTCCAGTCACATTCCCTGTAACCACTATTTTAAATTTCTTCCAGAGTTTATTTCTTCAAGCAAATGTTATGTGTTATTATTTTCCTTCCTTTTACACATATGGTAGTATGCTATATTCACCTGTGTAGTATTCTGCTGTCTTCACTTAATAGTATGTTTTACAGAACTTTCCAGACCCATACAGAATTTCCTCATTCTCTCTTACACTTGAGTGTCCCCCCGCCCCCCGCCATGGATACACCATTACTGATGTAATCTATATAGACAAGTATTTAGTTGCTTCCAACTTTCACTCTTTGAAGCAATGCTGTGAAGAATAGCCTATGCATATCATTTGGTGTCTACATATATCCCTAAAGTAAGTTCTTAGTAATGAAACTGCTGGGCCAAAAGATATGTCCATGTGTAATTTTGCTGTCTTACTAAATTGCTATCCATCAAGATTGTATCAATTTATATACCAGATCACAATGCATGAGTCACTTAGATGTTTAATCGTAATACTATTAGGTTGTCTCCCAATTCTCAGCAGAGGCATTTTCAAATTACCTGCATAGGATTTGGGTTAGATTATATAGGATTATTTAGAAAGGGCCTTAATATTTTTTTTTTTAAAACAGGCCACGAAGGCACATATAAAACTCAATACTAAGAAGCTTTACCAGGCTGATGGATATGCAGTGAAAGAACTGCTGAAGGTCACATCTGTCCTTTATAATGCTATGAAGACCAAAGGGATGGAGAGTTCAAAAATAGGAGAGGAAGATGTCAGCAAATTCAAGTTTGATCTCGGCTCCAAGGTAAGGACTAAAGGAGTGCTTATTTCTTGGACTCAGGAGTAGGATGTGCGTGGCACTCAGAGCACCACCACGTTCCTTACTGCTTGACCAAGGGCAGTTGGCCAGTTTTGTGCTCATCAACATTCTAATAAAAGGAAAGGCACAGTGAATTAATGCAATTCTTTACTGAAAGCCTCATATTTAATAGGAACCATTCAAATGCTAGGGATATAGGTGTGAACAAAGAGGATAGAGTTCTCTGTCCTATTGCTTAGTTGAGGGAGTCAGACTATGAACCCCAATGTTAAAAGTGACCACCATGGAGAATAACAAAGCAGGATCAGGATGGAGAGTGCTGGGGAAGGTATTTTTCCTAGAGTGACCAGGAAGGCCTCATGGGTTGGGTGGCTTCAGAGATCTGAGGGAAGGAAGGAACAGCCATGCAAGTGGGGGTGGGGACGTATGTCCTGAGATAACAGTGTGCTTTGTGTGTTTGAAAAGAGCAAGGGATCTCTGTGGTGAGAGCCACAACGGGAGGCCTTCTGGTCCCTTTCATTTTTTTACTTGAACTGGAAAATGGGATTTTGAACAGAGATGTTTAAGCTTGAATTTTCTATGCAAAGGATCCCTCTGCCTGCTGCATTGCCACCAGACTGAAGTGAGAGTCGAGCATGGAAGTTAATCATTGATTGCCATGGTCTGAGCAAGACTCTAAAACCAGAGGAAGGGATAACTGTTTGTTTCATTTTCCCCCATAGAATGATGCATCTGCCAGTTAAGGGCCAGAACCCCCAACAAAAGACTCTGGCGGTTTTATGGACCCTGAAGTGGGGTGAAGGGATGACCAGAAGTGGAAAAGTACTAGATACTGCCAAGGTGGGGAAGGTGTTTTTGAGCCCCTCGCTCCAGGAGAGGCACCTGAAGAGACTTCGGCCCAAGGCTCAGATGAGGAGACTAGAATAAAGGCAGCCAGGCTAGGAACACAGACTAGAGCATGACTGGCCAGGGGCCTGGGTCCTGCCTGCTGTGCCCTTCAGAGACCAGTGCATCAGCTATGCCCCTCATTGGGGATTAGGACAGCTCTCCTCTGTGAGGCCTGCCAGGGAAAGCCTTCTAATTATCATGGTCAGGCCTGAAAAATCATGTGTTTTTTTATTTGTTTGTTTGCTTTCTACTTTTTTTTTATTATTAGTTTTTCACACATTGTTTTTTAACCAGGAGCCAGGCCCCTGGTAAAGAGAAGTAGCTACAGGTGCAGACATATTTTGAAGGTAGATTTAATGGGACTGACTATGGATTGAGATAGGTGAGATGACTGTAGGAAGATCCCAAAGTGGCACAATACTGTCAGATCTGCTCTGCTGATGGTTTGCATCTGTGCTGTGTTTCTGCAGAAGCCACTGGCCAAAGTGGCTAGCACAGCTGAGGAGATGAGTTCTAAATTGTATTTTATTATTAAGTCATTTAAATGTGAAAGTGGCCATATGTGGCTAACAGTTACAGTATTAGACATTCAGCTCTGAAGTTTTTGGTCCAAGCACCTGGAAGGATTAAGTTGCCATTAGCTGAAGTAAAGAAGAGTCTGAAAGGGCAGAGGTGTAGTGGGGAAGATGAGTTTGGTTCTGGACATGTTATATTTATGATATGCCCTGGATGTCCAGGTAGAGATGCTGAGCAAGTAGTTGGCGTATGAGGCTGGAGCTGGGGTTAGGAGCACCTAGGTAGAATTAAAGTCATGGGGTTAGAAGGAGTGCCGGTATCACTGTCAAGAGGTGGGGAAGGTGAGGAGAATCCTGCAAAGCAAGTTAGAAACTTGTTGCCAGTCAAGTAGGAAAAGCAGCTGGAGCTGAATCAGACCATGTCCCCAGACTCTTGCTAGTGTATTGGAAATAAAAGAGCAGTTGGGGATTCTTTGTTTTGGAGAGAGGGAGAATGACCTAGCAGGTAGATGTTTATGTTTGGATCTTTGGGAAATATAACACACTCAAGAAAGAGGGGAGCAAACACATAATCCTAAGAAAGAAGACTGGTTGCTAAATTGGCATCATAGTCACTGGCATTGTCTTCCTGGCAGTAGCCCCCATGCTTGTGGGAGTTGAGAACTGTTGTGAGTACTTAGAGGATGCTACCACACCTGAGCCTCACAGCACCCTATTGGGGAAAGTCAGAGGCAGAGAATGAGGAGACAGGGTAGGTTGAATATAGGCCTGAGGATGCTGCAGTAGGGCAGGTGTCCCTTAGGTTGCCCCTTCATTTGGTCACCCCACTGCTGTTGCTGGACCCATTGTGACCTATTCAAAACTGGAAGCATGTCAGGTTTCTTCTTTCTGTATCTCCTGGTTTTGGATTAAGATTGGCTTGAAATTTGGTTTTTGGAGACACCAGATATTCTGGAATTGGTCTTATTTGTACTTAGGTCAGTGTTTCCTAAGCAGATGTCCTGGGAGAGCTGTCCTACAGCATGTAATTGTGGGACTGCTAAAAACATATCCTCCCTAAAGGTAGCAGTTGATAATAAGCAACTGGTTGTGGATGCCTGTTAAAAACTGAAATTCGTGCTTCTGATATTTACCTTCCAGATTGCAGATTTGAAAGCAGCCAGGCAGCTTGCTTCTGAAATCACCTCCAAAGGAGCATCACTATATGACTTGCTGGGCAAGGAGGTTGAATTGAGGGTAAGCATTGTTCAGAGAAAGAATGTAGATTTTCTCTTCCAGGTTTTCTTTTTCAATTATGCTTCTTGCTTTTTGGTGGTTCTTATTGTATTAAACTTTACCTGTGATTAAATGAGGTAATATGTGGAAAGTGATGTAAAATGTTAGGTCCTCTTCTTCTACTGGTCAGAGATCTACTGGTTTTAATACCTTGAACTTCTAATTCAGGAGTGGCAACTATTGGCCTGTGGCTGAGATTGTCCTTGAACCTGTGCCTAACCTTGCTGATCATGGTGCTCTTTTCCCCATGAACTCAACCTCAGAATTTTCAGTAATGCTCTTCTCAGCCTATGGATCCCAAACGTTGCTCCTGTGGCCTCACTTGGAGAATCTTTACAAACTCCTGAAGCAAGCTTTCATTCTGATGTCTCTGTTATGAAATGTGACCTAGGCATTGAGTTTCAAGTCTTCCAGGTGATACATACAGCAAAGTTTAGGACTTTTTTTTTTTTTTTTTTTTTTTTTTTTTTTGGTTTCAAGTCTTCCAGGTGATCCAGGCAGTCACTCCCAAGCAGTTGGAATCAATATTACTTTTTAAACTTATTTACAATCCTTTATTTCAACTGGTGCCAGCCAAGGAACAGGCATGCACTTGTCTGTTGTAAATAATGTGGTTACTAAACTTTACTGAACCTTAGACTCACCCTATGTCCAGGTTGTCCTCATACCAATGAGTTGGCATATCAGAGGCTAAGAACCAGATCAGGGTTTAAAGTTACCCAGGCTATTTCAACAAGCAGCAGAATTGGAGAAGTACTGGTTCAAGAAGAAACGAAGTACTGTTGAATCCTTACCTGTAACGATTTATGGCATTTGAAGCACACATGTCCAATCTAGTGTTTTTGCAGTAAATGAATTTCATTCCCTCGCTTTCTATTAGGTATGCCAGCCTCAATACCTCTCTTCCTGTCTTGCCTGTGTTCTGGCATTTCTGCTACAGTGTAAAGGTATTTGTCCCCCTGCTTTTCACTGTAACCCAGGAATAAACTGGAAGTAGATATCAGGGATGAGGACTTGGATATCACATTACCATCCTGGCTCTTCATGTGCCAATCTAGTGTTGCTACCAGGTGAAGTGGTAGGCATAACAAAACTGCCACTAACATCTGACAGCCATTTCTGGTAACTGGGGAGTCAGTTCCAGGTTTTTTGTGTATAGCACAATAGTGCCTGTGTGTCTACACACCTTCCTGAGACCCAGAGACAGAGCTGGTGACCTGCTGAGCACCAGGGGAACTATGGCATCATTGTAAGACTTCACCAGTATCCCCCGGACACTCTTTTAGCACTGTCCTTTAGGGAATAATAAATAATCAGTGACTGAACTGTTCCCAAGGAAACCATGAGCTCTGAATATAGTACTTCTCTAATGTGGTATATAAACCAGCACAATGGTGCACGCCTGTAAGTGCAGCTATTTGGGATTCTGAGGCAGAAAGATCACAAGTTTGAGGCCAGCCTGGGCAACTTACTGAGACCATGTCTCAAAAAGTAAAAAGGGTTGGGGAGGTAGCCCAGTGGTCAGTTCCCAATTGCCACCACCCCACAATGTGTGTACACACTCAGTGTGCCAGCCACAGGCACAACATCAAGCTCTGCCTTCTTAAGGAAGCCATAGCCATGATCTGCTTCCCACCAGTGGGGGAGATGAGATGTACAAGAGTAACAGAAGTGCAAGGTAGAGTGTGATAGGAGCTCTAGGAGCTGCATCTTAATCCATTTGGGCTACTACAACAAAATATGATGGACTCAGTGGTTTGAAAACAATAGAAATTCATTTCTCATAGTTCTGGAGACTAGGAAATCCTAGATCTAAGTGCTGGTGTATTTGGTGTCTGGTAAGGGCTCCTTCCTTATAGATGGTATTTCCTTGCTATGTCCTCATCTGGCCAAGGATGAGGGAGCATTCCAGGTCTCACAAGGGCACTAATTCCTTCATGAGGGTATCACCCTCATGATCTAACTCATACTAAAGATCTCACTTCCTTATACTATTATCCTTTGGGTTAGAGTTTCAACAGGATCCTCAGGAATGAGACAAACATTCAGTCTCTAACCAGGTTAATAACTACATCCACATTAAAATCCCATGGTTCCAAAGTTCCCAGTACTGATGTGATAGCCACAAGGCCCCCTTGATTGGTTTATGCTTAATATTAGCAGCAGGGTCAAGGTGACCATTCTCATCTGCATTTATCAGTAATAGGCAACTTAGAAAGACTTAATCATAAAAAAGGTTATAGCAGGGATTCAGACAGCAAGTTATGTTGTGCTTAGTTTGAACAGAATGTAAGTCATGAAGTAAATTTGGGAGAAAAGGTAACAGATGCTAAGTTCAGGTTTGCACATAGAGCTAAGGGCATGTTAGGCCTTGAACTGAAAAGGAGAATCTTGAGGTCTGGGGAGAGACAAGGTTGGCATCAAAGGACATTTATAGGTCATGGGCAGAGATCTTTTTACATCAGAGATCCACATAATAATGAGACTTTTTTTCTTTTGGTGCTGGGGATTGTACCCAGAGCCTCATATGTGCTAACCACGTGCTCCATCATCAAGCTGTGTCCCCAGTCCCGTAATGAAACTTTTAAGAATTAGTTCATAAGCCAGATGTGGATCTAGGAACACTGGTTTTGAATACTCCTTTTTTGAAAATCTATGTAAATGATTTTATTGTTTCTCTTAGGAACTGAGAACAGAAGCCATTGCCAGACCTCTGGAAATAAATGAAACTGAAAAAGTAATGAGAATTGCAATAAAAGAGATTTTGGTAAGATTAGTTTGGTTTTATTTAAGTGTTTTATGCCTGGGACTCAAAAATATGTATTTTATACCTGCATAAGATAGAACAAACTATACCTAGTGATGGATATTTCAAAGGGATTTAGAGAGTATTCTAGGAGCCTTAGGTTACTGACTGCTATTGTTTTTCTCCTCATATGCATAAGAACAATTTCTTCTGTTAATAAAAATTCATCAGTTTAGGCTGGTATTGTAGCTCAATGATAGAGCACTGCCTGGCACATGTGAAGCACTGGGTTGGATCCTTAGCCCCACATAAAAATAAATAGATAGATAGATAGATAGATAGATAGATAGATAGATAGATAGATAAAGGTATTATGTTCATCTGCAACTAAAAAACATGTTTTAAAATTCATCAATTTTGGCCAGGCATAGTGGCACACACCTGTAATCCTAGCTGCTCGGGAAGCTGAGGTGGGAGGATCATGAGTTCAAAGCCAGCCTCAGTAAAAGCAAGTGGCTAAGCAACTCAGTGATACCCTGTCTCTAATAAAATACAAAATGGGCTAGGGATGTGGCTCAGTGGTCGAATGCCCCTGAGTTCAACCCCTGATACCCCCACCCCAAAAAAATAAATTCATCAGTTTTATGGGGGCTGGGTGGTTTCTCAGTGGTTCCTCAGATGGTATTTCCTTGCTATGTCCTCATCTGGCCAAGGATGAGGGAGCATTCCAGGTCTCTCTTACAAGGGCACTCCACCTCAGTGGTGGAGCACTTGCCCAACAGGTATGAGGCACTGGGTTTTATCCTCAGCACCATATAAATTTAAATAAAACAAAGGTCCATTAACAACTAAAAAAATATTTGAAACAATAAAAAATTCATTTATTTTAACAATTTAGCAATTTTAAATTCTTCAGTAGTTTTGGTAAATAGGCTTTATTTTATTTAATCAATTTCTTACCACTGGGCATTTAAATAATTTCTCAGTTTTTCCCTCTCCTCCCCTTCTCTTATTGAACTGAGATGGGACCCAAGGCCATGTATATGCTACCACTCTACCATTGAGCTACACCCCAGCCCTTTTCCAGGTTCTCTTAATACTAAACAGCACTGTAGTAAATAGAATGATCACTGTCTTTTACTGCTCACCCACCATCAACTATTATTTGCTCCTATCATCTAGAGTATCCATGATGGAAGACACATGATCAGGAGAACTCTGGGCTCAGAGTGCTTGGGTTTGCATCCAACTGTGAATTAACTTTTATGTCCACAATTTTTTCATGTGTAGAATGTGGAACACAACTATACCAACTATATGGAGCATAAATTACAGCAGTACACATTAAGCTTTGTCTTTGGTGCACAATAGGTATTCAGCCATCGTTAATGATTCCTTTTATTCAATAAACACAGGCAAGGAGCCATATTTAAATTAGGAATAGGCATAAAATCAGACTTGGTTGTAAGTTGTACAAAATTCTAAAAGTCAGGTTTTCTTTTTAATAACTCTTATCATTAAGCAGTAATCACCCTGTGCAGCCGAGAGAAGGGAGTCTAAGCCTTCTTGATTGAGAAGGTGTGGCAGTAGGGTTGGGAGGTGGGTTTTCACAGGCAAATCAACCAGATCAGTCAATATATTAAGAATAACAGAGCAGGGCTTGGATTGTGGCTCAGTAGCAAAGTGCTTACCTAGCATACAAGCAAGTGAGACACTAGGTTCAATTCTCATCACCACATATCAATAAATAAAATAGTCCATTGACAACTAAAAAAATATTTAAAAAAAAAAAAAAGAATAACAGAGCAGAGTTCCTCACCATTGGAGAAGAGAGTTATAAATGTGGGAAGAGAAATTTAGAATGAACCCCAAAATGGGAAGTATTGTTTAAAGGCATGATATTTGGTATATATATTAATAAATATAGGAATAAGTTGATATACCTGTAGGGGAATGTATGCATATGTGTAGATATGTCATTATGCACATGAGCACACCCACACTCACACATTTCTGAGCTCTGAGTACAACCAGCACCTGCATCTTGGCTTCTTTGTGCCATTATCCACTGAAGGGAGACAAGGCAATCTGGGAAAGTGATTAATTCCAGAGCTGGGTCCAGAAAAGTACAAGCTTGTGTGTCAAAGTAAGGAAGTGTTCAAAGAAGTACAGGGATCTGTTAAAGGGCCACAGGCCAGCTTGATTGGCTTTTTGCTGGCCAAACCAGAGTTAGTGTAAGCATCTAAGTAAATAAATTATAGTAATTGATTTTACAGTGCAATTGAATGAAATAGAAAACCATGGGTTCTTATATTTAAGAAATAAATGTTCAAAGTATCTCCTAACAAAATACTTACTAATTACAAAGAGGAGAAGAGTATCTTCTTAGAAGCCTGGCATTACCCCTTAATCAAATGACCAAAGCAGACATCACCGCAGTGAAACAAATCAAAACTATGGTGCCTGATAGCAGGTAGCCCTTTCTGCAGTAGCCCTGCTCAGGATGCATGATCAAAATCTGATCAGACAGACTGGGGGGGCATTTCATAAATGATCTGGCCTGTCCTCCTCAAAAATGAGGCAATCAAAGACAGAGCTGAGGAACCCTCCAGATTGAGGAGGCCCCAGAGAAGTGACACCTGTGTGCCATGGGGCTGCTGCCTGCAGGGGATGGGTGGGGGGGATTCTCTGGATGAGAGGGGAGACTAAATGGGCCTTTGCTCACATATGCTGTGTTGATGGCATTATGCTTGTAGAGGAAGAAGCCCCTGTCTATAGAAGTACTGGGACTTCAGAGTAGCACCACTCTCCCCTGGGTAGGAAAAAAAAATGCTTGTATTATTATACTTAAGCTTTTCTGTGAGTTTGTGACTTTCTAAATTTAAAAAATACTAATTCATCCTCATGTTTGGCAACACTCTGACTGAATCAAGTTAATGTGGCATGAATGTGCCTTTAGTTCTCATATGTTAAAAAATGAGAGCTGGATCATGTCTTTTTTTTTTTAAGAGAGAGAGAATTTTTAATATTTATTTTTTTTAGTTCTCGGTGGACACAACATCTTTGTTTGTATGTGGTGCTGAGGATCGAACCCGGGACACACGCATGCCAGGCGAGCGAGCTACCACTTGAGCCACATCCTCAGCCTGGATCATGTCTTTTTTTAAAAAAAAATATTTATTTATTTATTTATTTTAGGTGGACACAGTATCTTTATTTTTTTATTTTTATGTGGTGCTGAGGATCGAACCCAGTGCCTCATGCATACTAGGTGAGCACTCTACCACTGAGCCACAGCCCCAGCCCCTGGATCTTGTCTTATGATCTCCTTTCATTGTTGGAAAATATCTGTTATGTTTTATAATTCTAAAAATAAAACCAAAACAACAATGTGGATACTTAAAAGGGGATATGAAGTAAAGACCAGATATATCAGAAAACAGAAAAATTGTTTATGTTTACAGATGTCTGTCTTTCATATTTGAGGAACAGATACCTTTAATAATTTTCATTTCTGAGGTCAGATAAATTCACTAGGCTTTAGTCTAACTGATTCAGAGAGCAGTTGATACTAGCTGAGTTGTTCAGGAGGGACTTACCTTTCCTCTGACTGGAGCAGACTCACATTTCTACTTGGATTTTTAAAGTATTTGCGGTTCAATGAATCATTAGTGATTTTTTTTTTTAAAGAAAGCATCTTAGAAGTGGTTAATGTAGTTAGACCAAGTGGTTAATGAAAATTAAACCATAAATTTATTGACAGTAACTGTGGTTGCTTCCAAAAACGCACTTAAATCTCTTGAGAATCATGGAGAATATTTGGGCTTCTCAGGTGAACTCCATAGCTTTTCAGAGGCCTGTGGGTAAACTGTCAGGAAACCTTTGTGAGGCACTGACACATGGAGACTTACTGAAGGGAAACCTACCTCACCTTCAGAAACCTGATGCAGGGTTGTACAGTCACAGCAGTAAGGAGGGCGTCCACACACAGCCCAGTTGCGTCTAGATTCCTGGTGTGGCTCACTGGCACTCTGATCCATGGGGCATTTGCTGCCCAGCTTCCCAGGTGACACAGACATCACTGGGCAGTTGCTCCCATAGAACTTGCTTCAAGCCAGAGCATAAGAAGGTCTTTGGCTGTCAACATTGGTCTCTGCCCCTTCCCTCCTCTCCTCAGGCCCATTGCCCAGAACCTCTGTCCCATTCTACACAGGTCCCTTACAAAGGGTGGAGCACACCAGCACACCACTTGACCTTCCATGAGGTCACGCTGCTTTTATGCTGACTTCACCAACACAGTGGTTTTTCTCTTATTTTTAGTCTATCGTCAAGCTTCTGTTACATCAAGAGGAAAAGAGACCATTTTTTTATCCCAGCAGGCAGTTGCTTAGGATTGGGGCCAGCTCATATTTCTTTTTGTCCTTCCAGAGTAGAGCCATACTTTTTTGTGTGTGTTCTATAAGTAGATACTTGTCACCAGGGGAGCAGCCTAGTGTTGGAAGGCAAGCCCACAGTGCAAGCGTAGGCACCCAGTTCTAGCCAGGCGAGCTGGATAGGTACACTTGAAGACATTTCTCGTCATCTTCATTTATTTCCCTGGGCAGAAATGCCTGCTTTTCATGAAAATAATATTTTTTACTGTGCATGGTGGCACACACCTATAATCCCAGCTATTGGGAGCCTGGGGCAAGAGATCACAAGTTTGAGGTCAGCCTGAGCAGCTTAAGCAGGAGCCCTATCTCAAAATGAATAATAAAAAAAATGGGGGAGGGGGACTGGAAATGCAGCTCAGTGGTTGAGCACCCCTAGTTCAATCCCCAGTACTACTGAAATAAAAATTTTTTCTGGATCTGTGTATGATTCTTCCTGGAACTAGGTGGTGAGGTGCAGCATTGCTTGGGGGAGTGCCTGTGTTGTCTGTGCTTTTGTTTGTTCAGTGTGATTTGCTGGGTCTGAAGAACTGAGAAGTTGCCATCTTCAAAGAGTCCGCATGGTCTCATTATTTCCTGTTAAATGTAGGCGCAGGTTCAGAAGACTAAAGACCTGCTCAATAATGTGGCCTCCGATGAAGCTAATTTAGAAGCCAAAATTGAAAAGAGAAAATTAGAACTGGAAAGAAATCGGAAGCGACTGCAGACTCTACAGAGCGTCAGGTAGGTGTGAACACTTGAGAAGGGTGACTTGTAAAGCTATAACAAAGGCTCAGAGTTCACTGGCTTTGACTTTTCCAGTAGCAAGCAGAACCCCCTGTGAGGTGTCGCGCTTGGGATGGCATGATGCACCCAAGTCTCAGGGTCTAGGAGACAGCTGAGTTCTTCAGCCACCCTTTTAAGTGTTTATGGCTTGGATCGTGAGGTAGAGCAGGTAAATCCAGATGGTGGGAGTTATGCTAGGCTTCATCTCCTAAGACCTTGCCTAAATTAGGTAGAAACAGAACATTCTCCCACCTCTTGGTTTGAGTAGATTGTAGACTTTTTAGATTTGGACGACTCCTCATGTTTTAGCAACTCAGCTTCCTTCTGATTGGATCTCACTGGAGTACGAATCTGGGGAGCAGAGTAGGAAAGTACAGAACTGCTGCTGTGTCAGTGCGCTTCTGTTTTCTTGGAGCTGCTGCCCACCTTTTTCACTTGTTTCCGACCTTCACTCCTTGCCATTGCTCTCCACTGCATGGGGAGCAACTCTCCTTCCACTCCTGAAATAGCACCACCAGCTCCGTTGGTCTTTTTTTTAAATATATTTTATTTATTCATTTTTATGTGGTGCTGAGAATCAAACCCAGTGCCTCACATGTGTAAGGCAAGCGCTCTACCACTGAGCTACAGCCACAGCCCTCAATTGGTCTTATTGATAAATTCTGTCTTAAGGCATAAAGTCATTCTGCTGAAGCCCAGATCCTTCAGTAGACAAGTTTATTTGTTCTATTTTAAGAGATTATAAGTTACTTTTAGTTTGTGGCTATATATATCATGTATTTTTTTTTTTTGTGTGTGTGTGTGTGTGTGTGTGTGTATGTATTACTATTTTGGTACTAGGAATTAAATCCAGGGCCTCATTCTTCCTAGGCAAGTACTCTAACACTAAGTTTTATCCATTCCCAGTGATGTGTGTGAATGTGTATGTATTTACTTATTTATTATTTTTTAAGATATGGGGTCTTGCTGTTTTGCCCAAGCTGCCTTTGAAGTCCTGGCTGCAAGCAATCCTCCTGCCTTAGCTTCCTGAGGAGCTGGGACTACAGGTGCACAGCTCTATGTTTGTATTTTTGAAAGAACAAAGTTTTCCCTTAAGATCAAGAATAAGAGAAAAAGTTTAACCAACTAGTTGAAACAGAGTTAGTTTGTTTTTGCTTGCAGCATTGGGGAATCAAACCTAGGGCCTTAGTTCTGAACAGATTTGTTTTTTGTTTTTGTTTTTTCCAGTACTGGGGATGGAACTTAGGTTCTTTACCACTGAGTACACCCCCAGTCCTTTTTACTTTTTTTTTTTTTGGCAGGGGCAGGGAGATTGAACTCAGGGGCACTCAACCCCTATCCCTGTTTTGTGTTTTATTTAGAGACAGGTCTCACTGAGTTGCTCAGCACCTCAATGTTTCTGTGGCTGGCTTTGAACTTGCAATCCTCCTGTCTCAGCATCCTGAGCTGCTGGGATTACAGGCATGTGTCACTGCCTCTGGCTTCTTTTTACTTGTTATTTAATTCAGAGTCTTACTAAGTTACTAAGGCTGATCTTGAACTTGAGAACCTCCTGCCTAAGCTCTGGAGCTACTGGGGTTGTAGGCAAGTGCCACTACACCCTGTTGAAACAAGTTTTTATGTAATGGTTTATCTGTAAGTCTTATGTTGTTTAAAAACTGCATTCATTTGCAGCAGCCCGTTAAACTTTGGTACATCCCAACAGTGGAACATTATATTTAGCCAAGATAACAATGCATATATTTAATTTATTGGGCTGGGGATATAGCTAAGTTGGTAGAGTGCTTACTTCACATGCCCAAGGCCCTGGGTTGTTCAATCCCCATCAACACACACACACACACACACACACACACACACACACACACACACACACACAGAAAAAAAATTGTAAAATATATTTAACTTAATGATTTTTAAGAGTTGTATAAGGCATATAATTATTTTTAGCTCTTTATTGAAGTCAGCAGTATATTAAAATAAACTACAAAGCTTCATTTATAGCAACATTTAATTTTTGTTAAAAAAAAATACATTCCAGAATGGAATTGTGACTCAGTGGTAGAGTGCTTGCCCTGGGTTTGATTCTCAGCACCACATAAAAATAAATAAATACAGGTATTTTGTCCAACTACAACTAAAAAATAAATGTCTGTCACATATACTTGGTGATGAGATTATGAATAATTTTTACTTTGTTCTTTGTACACTCATCCTATTTCAAGTTTTTTTTTTTTAATAAACATCTTATTTGTAATTTTAAAAGAAGTTTGTAGCAGGCATGTTCCACCTGTAGTACATACCTGAATCCCGGCTACTCAGGAGGCTGAGGCAGAATTACAAGCTCCAGGCCACCTCAGCAACTTAGCAAGGCCCTGTCTCAAAATAAAATTAAAAAGGGCTTGGGGTGTACCTCAGTGGTCTCTGAGTTCAGTCGCAGAAAAGAAAATAGGGAAGGAAGAAAAGAAGGGAAAGGAAGGCTTATTAAGGGGGTAGGAAGGAAAAAAAGGACATGAGTCTTGAGCACTTATCAAGAGTAAAGAACCTTCTGTAATGAAAGGTTTCCAAAGAAAGCCATGGTGGAGTCTGGATATGAATAAAAATTTCAAATCACTGTATATTAATTAACCTTTCATTTTTAACTTCCTGTGCTCATTTTAGACCAGCCTTTATGGATGAGTATGAGAAGATTGAGGAAGAATTGCAAAAGCACTATGATGTTTACCTAGAAAAATTTCGAAATTTGGCTTACCTGGAACAGCAGCTTGAGGATCATCACAGGATGGAGCAGGAGAGGTTTGAAGTGAGTCTTTGGCCTGTTCTCTGCAGACTGCTCCTCCTGGCATGTTGTTTTGAGCTTGGTGATATGTCAGTTGGTAGATATCATTGTGGAAAAAAAGTGTTAATCTGAGTGTTGTTCATGTGATTCTTTTGATGATGTATTATCAGTGTTTGGTCAGGAGTACAAACTGGAACAACATGGACCTATGCAGTCATGTAGCCCTGTGTTTAAAAAGGGCCTGCACTTGCTCTGCTATCACCATCTTGAAATACATCATAATTTGCAAGTGCATTTTATTTTGCACTGATCCCCACAAATTATGCAAGTGGTCTTTAGATCTAAACATTCTCAGTGCACTTGAAGATTTTCAAGCCCTTATTAATTGAACAACCCAAACTAGCTCATTGGGCGCTGCTTTATATTGGTTGATTGTGACCCAGAACTGAACAGCTGTCTTATGTAGGAAAGAGTATTTTAGATATCAGCACAAGTTGATCAATGTGAAATTCAGAGCTTCAAAGCAAAGGAAAATAGAGTACACAGTGATCACTTTTTTTTTCTTTTTTTTTTTTTTAATATATTTTATTTTGAGACAGGGTCTTGCTGAGTTGCTTAGGGCCTCACTAAATTGCTGAGGCCGACTTTGAACTTGTGATCCTCCTGTCTCAGCCTCCCAAGCCACTGGGATTACAGACATACATCACTACACCCCAGCCCTTTTTTAAAATTCATTTTGAGATGAGGTCTCACTAAGTTGCCTAGGCTGGAATTTGCTATCCTCCTGCCTCAGTCTCTCAAGTAGTTGGGAACACAGGTGTGTGCCACTGTGCCAGGCTACAGTCATGTTTTCATTGGACTTGACTCTTAGAAATATTCTGTTTAAGCTGAGAATAGTCAGTAGGAACTGATGTTCAAGGTGAAGTTGGTCTATAGTCTCCCTTTCTACAGTCTCCCTGATGACTTTTGGTACTAAGGGAATGCTGACCAACTTCCAAGCCTGTGCACATCAGTTAGGTAAGGCAGTTTTGTTGTCTGAGATTGCTGATTGGGAGTGTGTAGTACATTTTTTTTAGATTCAACTAACTCATTGCCACCACTGCTATGTGGCAGAGGGGCAGCCATTCAGGAACAGCATAGAATGGGTACATTCTGGAGTTCAGGACATTATAAACATTGGCTATCTGGGAAACCACAATAAAAACCCTGTGAAAATAAATTTTGACTCAGTACCACAAAAAAGTAAAATTAAATTGAAAAATTTTAATGGTCATTTTGTTTTCCTGGGTTCAGAGAAGATACTGAAGAATATGCCTCAGAAGGAGAGCCCCTGGCCCACATTGCTTCTGAGGATGCCCTTACCCCTTCTTCCAGCAAGTCCTCTCCTCCCGTTCTGCATTCACTCCTGCTGTGGGTTCTTGTGGCACCTGTTCCCTCAATATATCTCATACCTGAATGCTGTGCTTTATTTTTTTTTTTAATTCTTATTTTTCAATTGTAGTTAGACACAATACTTTTATTTTATTTATCTATTTTTATGTGGTGCTGAGGATTGAACCCAGGGCCTTGCACATACTAGGCGAGTGCTCTACTGTTGAGCCGCAACCCCAGCCCCCACTGCTGTGCTTTATTTTTAATATTTAGAACATCAACAACAATAATTTGAAAACTAATTTCCAAATCAAGGCCTCAGTTTTTGGTTTTTTTTTGAGATGGAGTCTTGCTTTGTTACCCAGGCTGGCCTTCCACCTGAGCCTCCCAAGAGCTGGGATTATGGGTATATGCCACCAGGCCTGGCTTAATCAGTGCCAGGAACTAAGATTGCTGTTACCTCCTGTCTTTTCAGGTCCTGACCTGTCCATTGGCATCTCTCAAAATGAGGGTGGAGGTGGTACAAGGCAGAAAGACAATAAAGTTGGTGCCACCTTTTGTGAGCAAGAGGCGTATGCCTATCAGTCCTGGGTGCCAGCCCACATGGCACCTGTGATGGCAGCAGTTGTATTGCTCGGTGTAGCAGGAGGAGTGAGAGGGCATGGGGCCTACTACACCTCTCAGGCCCTTTCCATAGGGCTGCTGGGTGATCACAGAGAGGAAGGGCCCCTGGTTTGGGGACTATAAGGGTTGCTCAGGAAAGTTTAGATCTTCCCCAGTTCTTTATCACAGACCTAGCAGAGCTCACTTCACGGTAAAGGAGAAGAGGACTGTCTACCAGAGGGTCATGGCTTCTAAGTATGGTTTGTCCTTTCCCACAGGAAGCTGAAAATACTCTCCGCCTGATGCAGAACAAGCTAAAGGAGGAGGAAAAGCGGCTGCTCAAGAGTGGAAGTAAGGCCGAGCTGGGACAGAGCTGCTTGTTCTGCACTAGCATTTTCAGCCTTGACATATTTGCATTTACTTTCTCTAACATTAGTTTTTATTTTGTAAATATTTTCTTTTAGCACTTTAAAAAAATATATATGGTAAGAACGATTAATATGAGATCTACCCTGTAAACTTTTTTTTTGGGGGGGGGGTACCAGGGTGCTTAATCACTGAACCACATCCTCAGCCCTTTTTATTTTTTTATTATGAGACAGTATCTAAGTTGCTTAAGGCCTAAGTTGCTGAGGTTGGCCTTGTATTTGGGCTTCTCCTGCCTCAGCCTTCAGATGATATGGGGTTACAAGCATATACCACCACACCAGGCTGTAAACTTTTTAATGTATATAATCTCATTGTTGATAGTAGGTACAAAAATATTTTCAGCAATTTGGGAAGCTGAGGCAGGAAAATAGCAAATTCAAGGCCAGCCTACACAACTTAGACCCTGTCCCAAAATATAAAGGGTTGAGGATGTAGGTCAGTGGAGGCAGCACCCTAGGTTCCATCCCTAGCACTGCTGAGGTAAAAAGAAGAAAGGCAACTACAAACCCCATCAAAATCCACATCATTCCCTAGATATAGAGAAGTCAGGTACTGGGGGAGAGCTTTTTATTCCTACCATGGAGACTTTCCTTCTGTAGTTTCCATTTAGGTAGTGTTCAGCCTGCAAGAATCCAGAGAAGTATTTAAGAATTAATATAAAGAGGGGCATTTTCAGCCTTGACTCAAAGGTAGAGCACCTGCCTTGCACGTGTGAGGCACTGGGTTGGATCATCAGCACCACATAAAAATAAATAAAGATATTGTGTGCATTTACAACTAAAAAAGAAAAAAAAAGAACTAATATGAAGAGCTATTACACTGAAAATGACGTTTTAAAAATACATCTTTTGGGCTGGAGATGTGGCTCAAGCGGTAGCGCGCTCGCCTGGTATGCGTGCGACCCGGGTTCGATCCTCAGCACCACATACCAACGAAGATGTTGTGTCCGCCGAGAACTGAAAAATAAATATTAAAAATTCTCTCTCTCTCTCCTCTCTCACTCTCTCTTTAAAAAAAAAAAAAATCTTTTTTTTGTCACTGGAAATGGAACCCAGGCCCAGGGATTGCTAAGCACTGTCCCTGAGCTGCTTCTCTCTCCAGCCAAGATGTGTTTTTATAAAGGAGTTTCTTCAGTGAAGAAAAGAGCATTGTTATGGGGCAGACCTCTCAGAAAACGTACCAAGTCCATTTTGTCTGAATTGGAGAGTTTTTATTTAATAGCCAGCCAGCTGGTGACTGCTCCCCACAAAACCCATAAGTGTCTCTGTAAGGAACAGCCTCAAGCCTGAGCATTTCAGGGTCTTTAGAGGCAAAAACCGCAAAAACCACATCCGGGTTGATGTAGCTACAAGCAAGCAGGGGTATAGAAGCTGAATTGAGCAGTTAGTGAAATAATGCAATGGGTACATTGGAATTTCCCACAGATGTCCAGGCTGGCATAGAAGCAAGCAAGCAGAAGAGAAGTGGGTTCAGATGACTCTAGCTGAGTACAAGTTAGAGAATGGTTACTAACATCTAGACAATCAATCTCTTGACAGAGTACATTCCCAAGAAAAATGGGAGTCAAAGAAAGAACAGTTTTACATTGTGTAAGAATTGGCATTTTGTGTTATCAAACATGCTGTGCTAAGCAACTATTGATAGGTACAGAGGCAGAGTGTTCCCATGGGAGAAGCATTTTATACAACATGGAGTCTCAGTGTAAAATGGAGTCTCTTTGGTCATAGCCCATATAGCCTGGCCCATAACAGCATCATGCACACCAGCTCACATTGCCAGCCATCAGGTCACAAGCTTTCTCAAGACAGCCCACTCTGCCACTCCTGGCCTGACTCCTCCTTCCTCTGGTCTTGTTTAGCTGTCTTTTCAGTGGGCTCCTCTTCTTACTTCTCCTCATCTTCGTATGATCAGGGAGCTGGAGTTGGGGTAATGGCCTGACACTGAACAGAGAGTGGTTTTTCTCTCAGTGAACCAAGAATTTCACCTTCCTTATTAGGTGGCTACTCAGTTTTTAAAATTTCAGACTGTTAGTGTTTCTAATACACGTGACCCACTTTTTTCTTGCCATGGAAATTGCTTAAAATAAATGTGGCACATTATTGTCTGCATTAACTCTGCACTAAGTTTACACAAGTGGATCCAGGGAGTCTCATAAAATCTAATGCATCCAGAGAAAGGATAGGAAGGGCAGAAAATTTTTGTGCATGACCCTTACTAGACAAAAGCTGTTCAGTTGTAATGATGGAGTTGCTCTTTTATTCTGCCTGCTTGTGTTCCCACCAGGTAATGATGACTCAGACATAGACATCCAGGAGGACGATGAATCCGACAGTGAGTTGGAGGAGCGGCGGCTGTCCAAGCCACGGACGGCCATGGAGGTGCTCATGCAAGGTAGCATGGCTTCTTTCACATGTGCCACTTCCTGGGTCTGTTTCACAGAATACCATGGCCAGGATTGGATCAGGGCTGCTTAATATTAAGGTACACAGTGGATCATGAATGGTCCCTGGAAGCAGTTTCTGCCCCAGGTTTGTTCTTCTCTGTTGTCTGTCAGAATCTGGCTCTTAAACTGCTCAGTGGTCATGGTTGCTTCTAACACTTTTACCTGCAGTCCTGAGAGCAGATGATTCCTATTTATAGCCTGGCATTTCTCACAGAGGCCATGGGAACACACTGCCTCTGCCGATGAGCTCAGTTCTTCCCATGTTCAGTCCTAAATTGCTCTTAGTGCAATTGCACTCATTATAGTTAGTAAGTTAATGCAACGAGAAGGGATCACATAACCACCTCAGCCTTTAAAAATGTTCTTCTGTTTTCTGCCTTCTAATTGCAAAGATCCTAGCAACAGGATTTTTGATGCAGATGGGATGCTCCCCTGGGGTCTTCCCCATGTCCCATTCCCACCATAGAGGGGTCACAGCTAGTGGCTGGGGTTCGTGTCTTTACAAATTGCTTTTCTGTGCCTACACATACACATACAAGCTTGTACGTACATATACACACATAGAATCAAATGTGGGTGCAGAGATCACCTCAAAAATTCTTTCTCCTAAATGGAACCAGACCTTATGTATGATTCTGCAAGTTGCCTTTGTTTTTAAGATTAAATATATTGTGACTCTCCCCATGTCGTCTTTTTTTTTAATGACTGCATCATATTCTGTAGTATGACTACACTCCTAATTAATTTGGGCATACCCTGTCATTTACTTGACACTTATTTTTACTCTTTCTTATGTATACTTCTTTCTGCAAGTGTTTCTTCAGATTGCATCATGAAAAAAATGGAATTCTTAGGCCAAAGGTTCTATAAACTATATATATATAGTTTATATATATTTAATTTTAGGTGGTCACAAACCTTTATCTGTTTTTATGTAGTGCTGAGGATCAAACCCAGTGCCTCACTCATGCTAGGCAAGTGCTCTACCACTAAGCCACAACCACAGCCCCATCTATAAACTAATTTTGATAGATGTTACTAAATTGACCTGTATTTGCCTTTAAATACATTTCTTATCTACCACCACTTAATGTTTGGAGTACAGTTGCATTTTTATACCTAATGAATTTAAGGGTGAATCATTGTCCTTTCATCATTTTACAATTAACTTTGGTTGTCAGCTGCTTTCTCTTATTCTTAGCCTAGCTCTGTTCATTTATTATTTCATTATATATTATATTATTTCATAAGATAATTTTTTTAAAAAAAAGCATTTTGGCATAAGTAGAGATTAGAGATTATGACTCCCACTTGATGGATAGGAGCCAGGGATGTAAAAAGACATGTGTAAAGCATTGGTTCTCCTAAATTCTGTTGACTACTTTACCTGCAGAGTAAAATCACAGAGTTCAGTTCTAGAAGCTAAAAAAGGGCTTTGAGAAAGTTTTTGCATTTTGTCTGTAAATAGTGTTCAGTCATGCTCCTTTCCCTTGCCCCACCTCCTGGTAAAGGACAGTCCCTGAATTTTTGCAGGTGTCACATCTAAACACTGTTGACTTCTGAAGAGAATCTCTGAGATAATAATGATGTTTGAAAGATGAATTACTAATTGTAGTGCTTAATTTTTTTTTTAATTTTTTCATTTCAAAGCTCAGACCTAGATCCAAATACAAGTGGCATTGGTCCTTAAAGGAAGATATATTTCAACAGCTAGCATGCCAGTTCCACTGCATGTAAACTAATAATGGAATTCAGTAATTTTCCTAAAACACTCAGGGTACTTTTTTAAAATTTTATTTTAATTCACGATAAATGGTTATTTTGTGTTTTGTGCTGCTGGGATTAAAGCCAAGGCTTTGAACGTGCTAGGCAATTGCTCTATTGATGAACTACACCCCAGGCCTTCCTGTTTTGTTTTTTATATACAGACACATACACACACACTGTATACAGACACACACACACACACACACACACACACACACACACACACACACAGACACACACGTATACATACTTGTGTGCCTGGTTATATATTTTTTGTTGTTACTAGGGATTGAACCCGTAGCACTTTACCACTAGTTACATCCCATCACTAGCTTTTTATTTTTGTTATTTTTGTTAAATTTTTTTTAGTTGTAGATGGATAAAATACCTTTATTTTATTTATATATATTTTATGCAGTGCTGAGGATCAAACCCAGTGGATCACACATGCTAGGCAAGAGCTCTACCATTGAGCTACAGCACCAGCCCCTGTTTTTTTAATTTTTTAATTTGAGACAGGGTCTCACTAAGTTGCTGAAACTGGCTTTGAAATTGCAATCCTCCTGCCTCAGCCTTTGAATTCACTGGGATTACTCATGTTTATATTTTATTGCCTTTCTTGTTTCCTTCAAAGTAGAAGTATGGGGTATCCGTTACTGTTTACTGACAGTTCTGGTCAGTTGGACACTGATTAAATGAGTTTTTAGTGTGCTTCTTTTTCTCAGTTTTCTAAGGGAGAACAAATTCTGGATGCCATTTCCTGCCTTACTTGCCAAAGTTTCATGTTTCCTGCATGCCTTTGTTGTTCCAGGAAGACCAGGCAAACGCGTCGTGGGCACAATGCAAGGTGGAGACTCTGATGACGATGTGAGTCCCAACCAACTCCCTGCATCCTGCCCCCCAAGCAGTTCTGTACTTTCTGGTCTTGGGCTGTCCTCAGAGACTAGTTTAGCTCAGGAAGCTGCTGGCAGCCAGGGGGCTGTCTGTTCCCAGCCAGTATATTGCTGATTGGGGGCAGAGTTTGGCCTACTAAGGGGCTAAGCTCCTCTTTGCTTCTTGATAGCTCATTTCTCATTTCACACAGTTTGCTTGCCCTACTTTTTTCGCCTTCTTACTGTTCTTTCCATTCTCGCTTTCCAAAGATGGAAGCAGCACCAGCTCTCTTAGGTAAATGCAAGACTCCCAGCTCCAGGAAGCAGGTTGGTTTTCTTTTTTGCCTCGTCTGTTTGTTGGTGTATGTCAGCCCATTCAGCCAGCAGAGCCTCTCCCAGGGACAATGCTTCCTCTCTGCTGGCCAAGAAGCCACTCAGAACAGACCCCACAGTGAGAAGCAGAGAGGCCTCAAGGTCCCAGGACTCAGTAGGAAGGGAAAGTGCCAAGGCCAGACATGGGAAAGGTTGTAGCTAGGAGTCAGCAGGCCCCTGAAATCAAGGGACAGTGCTGTAGCCAAGACCAGCCCTGTCTTCAGCTCCCTTCTGGGTAAGGAACATTGTAAAAATGCTCTCTTTAGACCAGGGCTCAGGCCAGGCAAGAGCTAAGACATCACCTTAGGCTTTACTGGGTTGATAACTGACTGGGGAAATTAACTAGAAGGGGAAAGCAGAGGAGGGTCCTAGAGGTATCAAGTCATTATGGATACCCTACCATCACCCTGGGCCTTCACCCTGTGAGAGCCCCTAGTAATGCTGCTTGGCCCACATGGCAAAGGTGTCAGAACTGACTTGGACCCCAGACCAGCTCTGTTGCAAAATCCACCTGTATCTGGGCACAGCACTGATGGCCATTCAGAGACAGAAGCAGAGGCTTATGCGTCTGTACAAAGATTCATTTGTTGGGCTGGGATTGTGGCTCAGCGGTAGAGCGCTCGCCTAGTACTTGCGAGGCCCTGGGTTTGATCCTCAGCACCACATAAAAATAAATAAACAAAATAAAGGTATTGGGTATAACTAAAAAATAAATATTAAAAAAAAATTTTTAAAAAAGATTCATTTGTTAAGTACCTGCAGTGTGCACTGTTAAAACATTCAAGGGAGAAAGCCATTGCTCAGGTGTACCAGGCAGGATGCACATGGAGGATTAGGTCTTGATTTCCTAGGAAGCAGTCTGTAAAGAAACAGGGAAAGTACCTCAAAAATAACTTTTAACAGGTAGGGTGTAGAGGGTGAGGTAGCTTCTATCCATCTGTCCTACATACCTGAGTCTGAAACTGAGTCTGACTTGGGAGCCAGTAGTACCAAGAAGGCAGGGGATTTGGTCCCTGTTAGATTTGCTTGTGTCCTTTTCAGAATGAAATTTCAGTTATAGCTCAGGTCTTTTCTTGCCTTGTCACTTGTCATACAGCCCCCAAGCGTGGGCTCGGTTCTTCAAGTCAATGCTCAGCCACTCAACAGCCATATTTTAGGTGCCTGTCATGTGCCAGGTACTGTTGTGGGCTCTGGGGGATACAGCAGGGGATACATGCCTTAGGATGTATGTTCCAGTGATAGAAGTCAAGCAGATATACCACAGTCATAAGTAAATTAAACAAAATAAAGGTATTATATACAACTAAAAAATAAATATAAAAAAAAATAATTAAAAAAAGTCCATTTGTTAAGTACCTGCAGTATGCACTGTTAAAACATTCATGGGAGAAAGCCATTGCTCAGGTGTGCCAGGCAGGATGCACAGGGAGATCAAAGCAAGTTCCGGAGATGGAGTGACAGAGACAAGGTGGGAGGATGTCCCCCCATGGTCAGGGAAGGCCTCTGGTGCAGTGACATTTGAGCAGAGGCCTGGGAGTGGCATGTGGGCCTAGGGAGCATGGCCGTGGAATGTGATGGATGGAGGGAACTAGCTAGGAGCTGAAAAAGGTAGCAGGGGTCATGAGCTTCACAGATGCCATGAGAACCCAGTCTTTTCCCTGAGTGGGACCAGCAAATACTACAGCCCCAGAAAGCCAGGAGTTAGCTCATCCATGAGAAAAACCGGTGAGGAGGTGAGCATGGTTTTGCAGGTCAGAGGTGACAATGCTCAGCCTCAGGGAGTGGCAGTGGAGGTACTTAAAGGAGGTCAAGTTCTAGATGTTTCTGAGGGGGAGCCATCGTGTTTTGTTAGTGGGTTGGACATAGGTGCTGAAGAGAGAGGAAGCTGCCTCGGTTGTGGTTGAGTCAACTAAGAGCAGGGTTTTTTGTTTTTTGTTTTCCTGAGATAGGGCTGTTGAGGAGGAGCTTGAAGGGCAGATCAAGAGTTTGGTTATGGATGTTCTAAGGGAAAGCTGCCTCTTAGACATCCATGTGTCAGTGTGGAATAGCCAGTTGAAATTCAGGTCTGTTCAGGAATAGGTCTAGCTGGAGATGGAGTTGGGGAGCCACCCATATGTAAATGGTATTGAAGCCAGGAGAGCAGATAAATTGCTTAGCAGGGGAGCAGGAAGAGAAGAAAGGAAGCAAAGAGGGTAAGGTAAGGGAGACAGAGTAAATGGCACTAGAGCTGGGGGAAGAGGCCAGAGGAGTGGGTTTCAAGGAAGGAGTGGTGATCCTCTGTCAGATGGAGCCCATAAGTCAAGCAAGGTGAGCACTGTGAATCCGTTTAGTTGGAATCCATTGATGAGAGCAGGGTAGGGTTTCTGAGAGCCTCATTAGCCTGTCCATGAGAGAGGAATGAGTGGGACAGTGAGCTCAGCAACTCTCCTAAAGAGTTCAGCCAAGAGGAGGGTGGAGTAACATGAGAGGATGGTAGTGAAAGGTTTCTTTTTGTTTTTGTTTTTCTTTAAGAAGAAAATTACTCTGTGTGTGTGTGTGTGTGTGTGTGTGTGTGTGTGTGTGTGTGTGACCGTCAACTTTTAAAGTTGGCCTGAGTTGGTCTCCCTGGGTCCAGATGATGGAGGTGCAGGTGTGCCTTTCACTTTGCTCTTTGCACCCATTTTCTGTGTTGCTTTCCATCACTAGCTGGAAGGAACCAAAACAAGCCTTCCTTCCCTTCCTCCTTGCTATCCATTGGATCTTTGGTGCCCCGGGAGCCAAGCAATGTCCAGGACTCTTAGTGTGCAGACAGGGGTGCTTTGTGACCGGTGTTGAGCCAACCCCTGCAGCACCAAGCTCAGTTGCATGTTGTGTTCAGGTTGCTGGTAGGATGAAGAACCTCGTGGTGTCTCCCAGCCAGCAGTGTCTGCTGAGGCCCTGATGCCTGACTGCAGCGCTGCCCTGCTCCTCCGCTGTGTCAGCTGTTGCTGGTTACTGTACTCTTAATCCTGGTGCTACAGTGAACAGTGAGGCAGGGTCTCTCAGGACAAGGTGGGCTCCCCAGTCGCATTTGTTGCCTTTTTCCTATAGGAAGACTCGGAGGACAGTGAAATTGACATGGAAGATGATGAAGAAGATGACGATGATTTGGAAGACGAGAGCATTGCTCTCTCACCAGCAAAGCCCAATCGAAGGGTTCGGAAACCTGAGCCCCTGGATGAGAGTGACAATGACTTCTGACCCTCTTGCCAAGGGACCCAGGCAGATTAAAAACCTCAGATTTGTAGGTAAATGGGAAATTAGATGGCAAGGAAGTTAACCTGTATTTTGTTCATTACACCAGCTTGGCTCATTGTTAAGAAGCATTACTTCTTTCTGCTTTATCATCTTGTATTTGCATTCCACAAAGTCTAATCAACAACTGAAGCAAACCCCAAAGATGTTTTTCTTTTGCCTTCTTTATTTCCTAAACCTTGGGAAATACATGTGTTTCTTAGTAGTTCAAACCCACAGGACAAAACCAGGCTGATAGTGAGTAAGTCTTGGCTGCTGCTGTTATTACACATTCCTCTCAGAACCCAGCAGATCTTGGGTTGGAACTTGGCACAATACTTGTTTTAGGAGTTACAGGGGAACATCTGGCTTGTTAATCACTTGCATAGTTTAGAACATTTACTATATATCAGCTTTTAATTCTTGCCTTTATTTATTTTTTTCTTCTCATAATTTCTTACTCTATCACTGAGCTACATCTCCAGCCTTTTTAATTTTTTTTATTTTTGAAGCAAGTTCTTGCTAAGCTACTAAGGATGCCCTTGGACTTGCAAGCCTCCTGCCTCAGCCTCCTGAGTCAGTGGAATTATAAGCATGTGCCGCCACACCCAGCCTAGATGTATTTTAATAACTAAAATTCTCTGAAATAGTAGCTAAGTTAGATGAAAAACAGCTATCCTTGGAAGTCAGGCAACAGAGAGATATTCTAGATTATGAATGTGTTAAGTTTTTCTCTGACAGCTGACATTCCCCTGGGAGTCAGATCCACCTCAGATCAAAGTCCCCTCTGTTTCCCCAGTTAAATTTGGGAACCGCATACCTGGGCTACCCCTTCAGAGATTCCAAACTCCTGCCACAGTGGCGGTCAGGACTCCACTCTCCTTCCTTGGTCTTGTCTAAAGTGTGGCAAGACATTTATCCATAATATAGGGACAAAGACAGTTTCTATGAATCTCCCAACCCACATGTCTCTTTAGGAGAAGGAGTCAACTAAGGAAAAATTGCCAATATACATTCATGTTTCTCATTTAAAAAAAAAGATAACCCAGAATCAATGGGCATGGTGGCACACACCTGTAATCCCAGTGATTCCCAAGGACCAGGAGGATTATAAATTCACAGACAGCCTCAGCAACTTAGTGAGATCCTGTCTCAAAAAAGAAAAAAGGCTGAGAATGTAGCTCAATGGTAGAGTGCTCCTGGATTCAATCCTCAATTTAAAATAATAATAATTAGTTAATTAATTAAGAAAATAAACCAGAATTAAATTAAGTGCAGTAGCACTAGAATTTCCCTGTTTGTGAAATAAATAATGACAGGTGGAGTTTGTTTTTTGCTTTATTGGTTGTGGATTTGTTTGTTTGTTTGTTTTTGTATTGGGGATTGAACCCAGGGATACCTTGCCATTAAACTAAACTTCAACCTTTTTTATTTATTTTGAGACAGGGTCTCACTAAATTGTGAAGGGCCTTGGTGAATTGCCCAGGCTGGCCTTGAACTTGCAATTCTCCTGCCTCAGCCTCCCAAGATGCTGGGATTACAAGTGTGTACCACTGTGCCACAGTAGAGTTAGCTTAATATGAAAATCATGGAACAGCTTTCATATATTTTATAATCATAAAGTTAAGATTTCTAAAGTTATTTATCCTGTAATACAATGCATTTAATATCATATTTTTGTATTATGTGTACTTGAAAGTATTATTATTTTGTTTATTCATATTTATGTATTCAAGAAAGTTTCGCAGGTTAATATGATACATGTAAGTTTTAGGATACTATGTAACAAATATTTTTGTCATCTTTGCTCTTTTTTCTTCTCTTCCTAAATTTTATGTATCTTTCATAAAAAAACACTTAGCATTAAGCTAATTTACCTTAATTTGAAATGTTCTGCATTAGCTTGAAGAGGAAATGGGTGGGCTGGGAACCTGGTGGCTGCTCAGACCCCATGGCTTCTGAGAGGCAGAAGAGTCACTTGTTTTCCAAAATGTCACAGTTTTGACTTACCTGATGACCTGACTTATGTCAGGAAAATTCTGTTTTCCTTCTGGGATATTTCCTTATAATGGGCTTTTTTTGACCCCACATTTTTTATTGGTGCATTGTAGTTGTACGTATTGGTGGGATTTGTTGTTACATATTCATACATGCACACAGTATAACAATATAATTAGGCTAGTATCACTCCCCAGCACTTCCCTGAGCTTTTAATACAGATGCAAGCAGCAGCTGCAAAGGGCAGTTTGTAGTTTCACCTCTTCCATGTCATCTGACTTCATGCAGAGTCTCACCATTGTGCAACACCACACTGCATGAGCAGGATCTATAACAAAGAGAACTGCATGTGTTGATCCTTGTCATTAAGTGTTTCAGTCACTGTGACAGATCCTGAAGTCAGAGATGTGTAAGTATCTTGTGGCCTGGTGCTTTGAGCATACCTCAGGCCCTGAAAAAAATGGTGAGATTAGGTCAATGAAAAATTAGCATTTTGGTCATTGCTGGCAATTTTTTTACTATATGATTAAAGGACCTGTTCAAATGTTTAAAATATGTGCATTTGCAGAAAATATAAAGAAATTTTCAAATCCTCTATTTTATTTTACTTTTTATTGGCGGTAGCCATTAAGAACAAAATCAGGGCTGGGAATGTAACCAGTGGTAGGGCACTTGCCAAGATGTTTGATGCCCTGGGTTTGATCCCAGTACCATGCAGAAACAAAAAACATAAGTAGGGACTCCCAATGGGAAATGCAAAGAACTGTTTCCATTTTATCTGGGACATTAAGAAATATGAATTTCTTTCATTATCATTTTAAATTAATCGATGTCAAATATTTGAAAGAAGGGTGTGCCCATTTAGGTTAACAGCACTCAAGGTAAATATCACAGCTATTAAAGGGACCCAAGGGCCTCTCAGGTGCTAGGATCCAGGACTTATTGAATTAGAAAGGAGCCAAAGCTTCTACCTCTTACCTGAAACAGAAATCCATTCTCTGGGTATATGAATTAATTCTCTTCTCTACTATTTCTGATGGGGTCTGTGTGGGCCAGCTGGCTTTGGTGTATCTGTGATCACACACTGAACCCTAGCTGTTTCAGATGGCTTGAGAAGAGGGTGTGGTCTGCTTAAAGAGTGAAAGGAGGAGGGCTAGTACAAAATGTAATCAGTGACTCTGTCAGTTGGGCCAGTTTGTGGTTAAAGGAATGACACATTTAAATGATTCAGAGGGAATATTTGTTTTCTAAGGATGTGAACATATAATACAGAGGAAAGAGTAGTAATAATGTAGCAGTTTCAGGAATGCAATACATGGTCACATGGACTCTGTCCGGCTTTTTGGCCTTGGGATCATTTTGCTATGGATGAGCTTCTTGGTCCTTGTTTCCTCTGTGCACCAAACATTTTTTTAGCACTTACTATTTTCAGCCACTTTGCTAACCCTGGAGAATTCAAATATAATTAAGTCTTAGCATCTGACAACCTAGAAAGAAAAAGGATTTAATATTATAATGCAGTATGTTGCATGCATGTTAAGAATATTATATACTGTCATGGGAATCCACAGTAAGGAGCAACTATCCTTGCCTGGAAGAGTTGACACAAGCTTTCTGTGAATTGGACTGCATCTTGAAAGCTGAAAAGTCTCCATCAGACAGACAAGTCGAATGTGGCATCATAGTGAGCCTGAATGTACAAAGGCACAGAGTGGTCAAAAGGCACAGCCTTTCTACAGAGTGATAAGTATTACATTAAGGCTGAAGAGTAGAGCATGTGGTGAGGGAGTATCTAAAGGAACTACTCTGTCATGCTAAGGAATAGGTTGTGTTTTGTTCTGTAGGCAGATGGCAACCTGCAGAGACTAGATCTTCCCCCCCCCAAAAAAAAAAATTACTCTGGCAAAAACTGGAACAGAAGACAGCAAGATGGTTAGCAAGCTCTTGGTGATGGCCTCAAGAATTAGGTTCATTTTTCAGAAGGCACCTCAGGAGAATGGACAGACTTTGAAGGCTGTTATCTAGGGAGGGCTGGTGAAGAGGAGAGATTGAAGGTGAAGGGGAGTTTTGTTTTGGATGCTTGTAACCTGAGAGATACAGGAAGAATAGCAGGTAAGGAAGGTACATCTGGGATACATCTAGCATATAATCACTTATGGAAATGGGAAACTTCCAGTTAAACATGATGAACAGAATACATTAATTTACCCCTATCTTCCTGAAATTCCACTAGAATTTTATATGAGAGAAAAAGAAAAATTTCAAAGGAGGCAAGGTTAACAAGAACCAGAATGGAGTGGATGAGAACATGAAAAACAGAAGTGTTAGAGCTGAGCTGTGACCCAAGGATCACCTCAAACAAAACTTCCAGAGATTAAAAAAGCCTGAGATGAAAATATGTGATTTGCATTTAACAGCAGGTGACATGCTGACCCTGAAAACATAGCAGTAGATACGGCCCAAAATTAAAAATGGGAAAAGTCAAAAAATAAAAAAACTTTTTCTATTATCAGTGTATTGCCTCAACTCCATATTTACCTTTTCAGCCTGCTCTGTGATGATGTAATAGAGCCAGACTTTGTAAATGTTTCTCCTTTGCAGCCAGTATGCCATAAAGCCTTATCAGTGGGGTGCTGGGGAGGCTTGGGTGGAAAAAGGGGTTTGCCTTCTAGTTTTAAGTTAGGCTTTCCTCAAGTCCCTAGAGGGGCACCCTTTTATTCTCCACAGCTTTGGCCTTTCCGACTTCTCCAGTGCTCAGCTTCTGCAGGGAGTGGCTTTCTCCAGCATTTGGTTGCTACATTCTTATCTATTCTGCTGAGCTCTCAATTGAGGTAAAAACAGTGCAAACAAGAGGCAATAGAGCAATCTCTATTGTACTGAAAGTACTGAAAGAAAAAACGGTCACGTAGAATTCTGTACCCAACAAAAATATATCTCTAATGTAAGACAATGTTCATGTCTTCAATTTCCAAATAATGTTCTTTATAGAGAATTTTTTTCCTACAGTCTAAGATCCAATCAAAGATTTTGCATTAGCATTTGTTAGGCCTCTTTAATCTCTTGTTTGAAATAATCTCCAGCCTTTTGTGTTTACCATAACAGTGATATTTTTTAAGAGGTTGGGCTGCTTTTGCAAAATGGCCCTCAATTTGGATTTTGTGCCATCATTCCTTCATGATTAGGTTCAGATGAACATTTTTGGCAAGAACGCTACGTAAGCTGTTATGTCCTAAAGGCAGTGCATCAGGGAATGTGCTGGCCATTTGTCCCTTGATGTGATGTTAAGGTAGCATATGTCAGATTTCAAGTTCCTAAGGCACCTCTTCCCCTTTATAAATAGCAGCATTGCCTCTCAGGGTCAACATCCATGACGACTCTGGATGCCCTTGCTTTTTTTTGGTATGAGGGATTAGACTTAGCTACTGAGCCATATCCCCAGCCCTTTTATTTTTTATTTTGAGACAAGGTCTCACTAAATTTTGCTAAATTGCTGAGGCTGGTCTTGAATTTACAGTCCTCCTGCCTCAGCTTCCCAAGTTGCTGGGATTACAACACTGTACCTGGCTGGATACCTATATTTTAAAAATAAATAAATAAATAAATGAACTTTTTAAAAATATCTTTATTGTTGAGTTGTAGATGGGCAGTACCTTTATTTATCTTTATGTGGTGCTGAGGCTCAAACCCAGTGCCTTCCACATGCTAGGTGAGTGCTCTACCACTGAGCCACAGTGGATACCTATTTTTAAGTAAATATTTTGAATGGCAGTTATATCTTCTCACAATTATAAGTGATAATCACTTAATGGTCTTCATAAACATTTTTCTTGGTTGTTTAGTTTTTGAGTGCTATGATGTTTGTTTGGATTTTCCCTTTTCAATCCAGACAGATAGCTACAGAATTCTGCCGCATGGAAGCTCAGCTTGCTTATCTCTGTAGGGAAGTCGTACCCACAGGAGAGGCTTTGGAAGCCTAACACAGGATAACAACATCAAGGAACCAGCATTGACTAACCAGTGTGCCAGACTTCAGATAATGTGGCAGACATCATCCTTGTCCAAGAGATCTTACGTAGAGTGAATCAAAACTGGCAGAACCCTTGGAGACTTTTGTCTCCATCTCCAAAATCTTAGAATTAAATTCTTCATTTATCTTCACAAATTTCCTTTAATTTTTCTATGCCTATAAGGATCACTCAAAAGTCTTTCCTTCTTAAGAAAGGGAAGAAAGGTCCCCACTGTCACCCCTGCCAAACTTATGTCCTTCATGGACTTGAAGATGGCAACTCATTCCAGAGAAAGGGATGATTTTTTTCATCAGATGAAGGGGAAAAGGGGGTGTAATTTTTGGGGTGTGTGTGTGTTAGTACTGGGAATTAAACCCTGGGCTTCACACTTCTAAGTAAGTGCTCTACCACCAAGCTACCTCCCCATCCCTTTTTAAATTTTATTGTGAGTCAGAGTCTTGCTAACTTGCCCAGGCTGGCCTCAAACTTGCCACCCTCCTTCCTTAGTCTCCCAATTAGCTGGGATTACAGGATTATACTACTGTACCCAGCTAAATTTGTTCAAAGTTGGGACTTTTAAATACTTTGGATATAAATAATGTGGAACCAACTCCCTACATTGATGAGCTTTGAGACTTTTGTCCTTAAGTCCCTTGGTAGCAGCTCCTTCTCTCTACCATTGCAGAATTTCTATCCACCATTGTCAGGACTTGCCCTGGGCTAGGAAAAGGTGCCTGAGACCTCCTTTGTAGCACCCGTTTTTCCTCTGTGCAGGAGACCAGCTCTTGTACTGGGTCAGCAGCATTCCCAGAATGCAGGATTGTGCCCAGAGATCACTTTCTGTTCAGAAGCTTTCATTCTCTGGAGTCTGTCCATCCTCTCCACCAGTGACTGGCTTTACTCACATCTTCACAGTGCATGAGGGAGCTTTGGTCTTGATAGCTTCTGAGATCATCCTGGCACCAGAGTCCCCAACTTGATTTCCCTGGAGACTAGAAGAGAAGGGTTAGGACAGGGCTCAGCACCCACCCATTCCCTTGAGTAGAGCAGTGGTCACCATAGTAACTGAGGAACCTTTGTGCTTCCACAGTCCCTACTACAGATGAGTCTGCAGCTGGCTCCTCCTTAGAATGCATTCCCCTGTGGAGCTGCTGGGAGGCCTGGGCACTGGTTCCCAGAATTGAGCTAAAGGCAGGGCCTGACCTGGGTTCAGTTCTGAAGGTGGGGCAAAAGTGGAAAGGGCCAGTGCTAGTGAAGCTACTCACTTGATGTGCTGCAGACCATGGTTCCCAGACAGAGCACTGGCAATGCATATGGCCCCATCCATCCCCAAGGAGTTCTCTTGAAGACTAGGCAGAGAAAAGATGGAGTCACTACAGTGAGTCATCAGGACCAGAGAAATGCCTAAGGAGACATTACCTTATTGGGGGCAGGGAGGACAAGCAGTTCTGGGTTTGACTTGTTTGTAGGTGCCACAACTGTGAGATGGCATTTGACCATAATGGTGTCTGTCAGCAGCCAGGTTGCCCCACCCAAGACCCTAAGTGCATATTTTAAGTGATTTCTGACTTAAGCAGAAGGAACAAAGCCACCGACAAAGGGTATGGACTTTAATAGTCAGAGGAGTAGCTAGAGGAAATCGGGAGCATTTTAGCTCACGGGGAAGATCCAGCACAGCAGTATGCTGCTCCAGGACACAGGCAGGTTTGACAGCCACTCACTTAAGCCTTCGGAGACTGGAGTTAATCTTCAGTGAGCTGGCCAGGGCCTTCGCTCCTGCCACTCCAATGGCATTTCCTCGTAAGCTGTCAGGAAAAACAGGACACCTAAGGTACAGGGACAGGCTGAGAAGTGACAATGGCATCTCTCCAGGTGGATGTGGGGTTACTTGGACTTCGGCAATCACTGGAGGTGAGGGTTGCACCTTCCTCACTTTTAGGCACTAGAACCAGGCTGGGCTCTAGAGAGTAGGACAACACGAAGGGGGTTGAGGCCAGCCCAGGCTTGGGTGCTTTGTTGGAGTCCTTGTCCTTTTACATTTCCAAGAAAGGCTGGGCTGAGATGGACAATGCAGCACTCCATCCAGCAAGTGACCAGCTTTGCCTCATAGGGAACCATAAGAGCAGGGATGACCTGGACACACCCAAGAGCTCCCTCACCAGGGGTTGGACCTTCTCAGAGACCAGGATCCATGGCCACTGCTACCACGGAGACCTAAACAGGGGCTCCACATATGTTTAGCCTGGGCAAGGCCAACCCAAAGAGCAGGACAAACTAGTGACTCCAGGAAAAGGGCAGGGAGTGGGAATAGAGACGCTGGGATACACATGACCTGAAATACTGAAGATCATCTGTGAGTTTCCGTGTCAATTGGTATCCACTATGAATCCATAGCTTGATTTCTTTGAGCAAAAGACTTGCCGGAGACAGGAATACTCACTCAAGAATCTCCAGCGTTCTGTTCACAGCCAGGGCTTCCCCCAGTGCCTGGGCCCCTGGTGCACCAATGGAGGCCACCTGGAGGCTACAAGGGGAGGGGCAGTCAGTGTAGGCAGGCAAGGCCTCCCTCCAAAAGGTCCACGCTTCACGGGGAGTAGAAGTGGAGAAACAGCACTGCAGATTATTGGTCTATGACCTGTCCAGAGAATACTACTGCTTCTCCCTCCTACACCCTGATACCTGAGACGGAGGTCTGGACACAGGGTGCAGAAAGCAGAAGCAATCTCCTGGATTTACTGGAGGAGGACACATGGTACCCCTAATTCATGCCTCTAGGTGTTTGATTTCCCAGTTACTGATATCAAACACACCTTTCTTGACTGTAAACAAAGATGGTGGGCAGCATGAGAGGATGGTGAAGGAGCTGGGCTCCTGGCACCACAGGGACTTACTAGAGAGCAGTGAGGGCTGTGTTTGCCTTTAGCGCACTGGCCACCGCAGAAGCTCCCTCATCCCCAATGGCGTTCTCCTGTAAGCTGAACAGAGTGACCTCTTCAGGCACAGAGGGACGGGCCAGCACTGTAGCAAGGACCTGATGTGTTTGGGCCTTCCAGATTCAATTCAGACTACACACCAGCCATGAACAAACCATCAGAGTTTAGGAAAGAACACGTGGGAATTGTTGATAACAAGGGTTCGGGACCAAAAGAGGAATGCTTTTCAAAGCCAACCAGAAACTAACTCAAAGCTCTCAATCTCCAGACCATTCTTGCTGATTAGGGTTTTATAACCACCACTCCTCAAAATTCAAGGAAAATAGCAGACACTGGCACGATAAATGACTTGAGTTTAGGTCAAGCGGATATGGCATGTAAAGTGATCAGTCTGCATTCATTATATTTGAGCATGCCCTGTGTGCTGGATATGTGCAGGAAAGGCAATTCTACCCTATTGGAACTCAGATTGGAATTTGCAATTAAATGAGTAGTTTAGCTAAGTACAGCTGCAGGGAAGGCCAATGGAGTCTCCTATCCCAGTGTGGTACCCAGAGACAGATCTGAACCAACACAGGTAATGAGGGGTGGGGAGGGCTTGGCACCTCTGAGGAGCCCAGGGAAATTGAGCTGAGTTCCTGGAGTGGTGAGAAACAAAAGACTGGGGAGAGCTGAGGTTGTGGCTCAGAGGTAGAGTGCTTGCCTAGGACAGGTGAGGCAGGTAAGGTCCTGAGTTCGATCCTCAGCACCACATTTAAAAAAAATAACAAGTAAACAAAGGTTAAATTTAAAAAAAAAAAAAAGACTGGGGAGTGTGAAGGAAATAGATCTTTCCAGGCCTCGTAAGCCATGCTGCAGGGTAACACTTCACTGCAGGCACTGGACAGCACTGAAGGATCTCACCCAGGTGGGGACACTGTTCAGCAACCTGAGGGGATGGCCTGGATATGGAGGCTGCCAGGGAAGCAGGTGAGTAGGGATGTGGCCTGGATGCTGGCAGTGGAGGGGAAACAGAGGGGAGGGACACCACAAGGGAGAATGGGCAGGACTTGGAGATGAGCTGGAAATGGAGGAAGGAGCAAGTGTGGTGCTCTGGCTTGCATAGTAGCTTGTCCCAGGAGCCAGATGGGGAACTTTCCAGAAAGGCTTGTGGAAAAGAATGCAGCATCCTGCTCTACCTGTGGGACACTGAGGGGACAGGCCAAGGTGTGAATTCCACAGGGCTTAAGAGCTGGAATATTGATGTGGAGGTCATTGGAATTCTCAAGGCAGTGGGAGCCCTAGGAGAGGAGGCAAACTCGGAAAAGGAATGTCATTACAAGGGCTTGGGCCAGAACCCCAAAGAGCCCCAGAATCAGAGTGGAACAGAAGGGAAGATTGAGGAGGACCATCCAGAGAGAGTATCCTGGAGGCTGAGGGAGAATTGTCAGGGCAGAAGCAGATGGGGCTCAAAAAAAGTCACAAAAGATCACGTGTTGTATGATTGGATTTATGTGGAATGATGAAACGTCTAGAATAGGCAGATCCAGGGGACAGATGGATTCATCTTTGAGGGATTCGGGGAGGAGAATGGAGAGTGCTGATGGGTATGGGTTTCATTTTAGGATGAGAGAAATCTTCTAGGATGATCTTGGTACTGGTTTTACAATTTTGTGTGTGTGTGCATGTGCTGGGGATTGGATCCAGGGCCTGGATCATGGTAAGCACACTACCCCTGAGCTCCCCAGCACACCTGTGTTTATTGTACATTTCCAGGTTCATCCATGTTGCTGTTGCACCGTGTGTTAGTACTTCATTCCTTCTTATGGCAGAATATGTTTGTGTGCATGTACACATTTTACTTGGTATAAATAAAATGGGCAAATTTTATGGTATGTGGATTATGTCCCAGTAAAACTGCTATATATCTCTATATAATAGATACACAGATATTTTTAAACAGGTGAGGCCTGAAACAAGCCCGCTGGTCTTAGGGCAGAGATAGCTCTGTACCACCAAGGGTCATCCATTCACCAGCCTTGTGCCTGGGGACTCTGAGGTTTTAGACCTCCCTGCTTACCCCACCTCCCCTTAGTCCCTGCAGGCCACACTTACTCTAAGCTGGTCAGGCTGCTGTTGAGCAGAAGTGCTTGTCCCAGGGCCCTGGCAGCACTGGCCTGGATGAAGTTCCACTGCAGGCTAAGCAGACAGACACATGAACATGTGGCTCAGGGGCAGAGCCAAGGAGGCTCCAGAAGCTTCTAGAGGATCTGATAGCAGGGTAAGTCCAAGAGGATTCCTGCTGCTCCCCTCAGGCTTAGTTCCCAAAGGGTCAGCATATATTCTATTAGTGGTGACCACAGGGACAAGCATAAATATTCTCCAGACAGTCCCTGCATAAAGCATGGCTTCCCAGGGCATCATGGTGGCACCCATCGCCCACCACAGTTCTGTTGTCTGAGGATCAGCCTCAGGAATCAGAACCATGGAGAGAGGGCACATATTACTTGAAGATGGGCAGCCTGGAAAGCCCCTGAGACCCAGGTGAGGGTGTCCCGAAGCCAGGCTTGGTCTGTGGCCCTTTGGGAGTAGTCCTGAGCTCTACAGAGAGGCATGGGGTGCTGGGGTGGGGCACAGACTCACTGAAGGGACTTGAGGGTGTGGTTTTTTCCCACTGCTACTGCAATGGCCTGGGCACCCTGGTCATGGAGGAGGTTGGCTGTCAGGCTGGGAAAAGGGAGAAGAAACGAGTGAATGGGAACCTGTCCTGAAGCTGCCTGTCCCTGGTCACTGGGGAGTTCTACCCACTCCCCCTCTTCCCAAGGACCACCCAAGTCTGTGCTGATGTTAGTTATTTGGCTCATATCTGTGAGAACTTTGGTGTCCTGGGGAGTGTCGTACCAAATCCTGAAAACAACCCAGGGGCAGGTCCCAGGCTCAGCTCAGTGGGTGCAGTGACAGGTCAGCTGGCCAGAATGTGGTGGAGCTGCCCTGGGGGTTGCTTCTCAATACTATGACCCCACATCAACTCTTGAGTCCCTTCCCTTCGGCTGGTTCATCCCCAGTGGAGACCAGCAGAGTATCTCCCTGTCGTCAATTGTGGCATTTATACCACAATGTAGGGGAGGGCTCGTGTGAGGGGTGCCACCAGTCACCAGGGCTGCCTCTTCCCCATCCAGGTCCTTCTTCAGCCTTGTAAAATGGTGAGGGTACTGAGGGCCTGGCCCATTATAATGGTGCCCACCAGCTCTGAGCTCTGGGTGGGCGAGGAGGCTGTGGCATAAATGATCCCAAGGAGGCCCAGTCTCTACTCCCTGCCCCAAACCCTCCCTGACCCCATCACGTACTCCAGATGTTTCAAAGAGCTGTTGATGCAGAGAGCATGAGCCAGGGCCTGGGCTCCCTCAGGACTGATGGAGTTTTCTCGAAGGCTAAGAAAGAAAGGGAAGACCCTGAGCTTCCTACAAAGCAGGTGAGACCTCTAGTGGCAAATACACCCAGGTTTTTTGAAGCTTAAGAAACCTCAGGTGGATCCTGGGCCAAACTAGAGGTAACTCCAGCCCTACTATCCAGAGACATGGAACTGCTGGACAAGGGGATGGAGGTCAGAGACTGAGAGCAGAATGCCCTCGGGGCTGGCATTAGCAGGGTTCTGGCAGGGAAGAGGTGCTGGCCGAGGTATGAAGGAGCCAGTTCTAGCAAACCAGGGCTCCAAGCAAGGGCTGCCAGCCAGGTGCCCCCACTAACGATCATACAAGAACATCCAGGAGGAAGAGGATAGGATGACAGGACCTCAGAAGTGTGAAGGGAAGAGGCAGGTGAGCATGCTGGGCACCTGAAGGGCTTGCACATGGGTAGGGAGCAGCAGAGCAGCCCATAGGGCCACAACTATGTCCTGCCCTCAAGAGGAGCAGGGTGCCCAGTTTTCAGAGCCAAGCCTGCCCCAGCCACAGATTTCCCCATAACATGCTTCCCAGCACCAGCTCTTCTTTCCAAATCCCAGAGTTCCTGCATAGCCTCTGGTCAAAAGGACACCCTGGGTGGGAGGGAATCCAGGACTTACTTGAGGCTGAGGAGGGTCTGGTTGACACCAAGGGCCTCCATCAGCATGGCCACTCCCGCATCACTGATGGAGTTGCTCTGCAGGCTGCAGACAGAATGTGGCGTCATGGCTGTCCCAGGACCCAGAGAAAGCTGTCCAGTCCAGCCTGAGGCCACAGGCTCCGGGTTGGGGAAGCCTGGAGACTGCTGCTCTCATCCCTCTTTCCTCCCATTGCCCCACCTTCTAGCCCCTGCCAGGTCAGGGTAGGTAGGTTTAGCACAAGGACCAAGGTCTAGACTCTGCCTTGACATGGGTGGCTCCACATGTCCTCAGAGGAAGGCACGTTGCTTCCGCAGCCCAAAGAGTATGGTACAGCAGTCACTCAGCACCCCCTGTCCAGTCAAGGCTGTGGCAGCCAGCTCCCTCCTCATCTGCGCACTTATCAAGAGCACTGGGAACTTGTTCTGGAAACTAGAGGTAACCCCAGCCTTACTGTCCAGAGACATGGAGCTGATGGACAAGGAGAGCAGAATGCACTCAGGGCTGGAATTAGCAGGATTCTGGCAGGGAAGAGGTGCTGGCTGGCAGCCTTCTTCTGGCACTACCAGCCAGCCATCTGCTAGATGGAGAGCCCGGGAATGATTATCACCCTGGAAGGTGTTCAGGCAGACTCACTCCAGGCTCTCCAGGCCCTGGTTCACCTTTAGGGCCTCAGCTAGGGCCTTGGCACCTCCATCACCAATGCTGTTACTGGAGAACCTGCAAGAGAGAGACATGGGTGAGCCCGCCTCCTGCAGCAGCTGCGCAGAGCCAGACCTGGGCATCAGGGCCCAGGGAAGCCTTCAGGGGAAGCAGCCTCTTCTGTCTCAAGGGTGCCCAGGGCAATTTGCTCTGCTTGGGTCCGGTTAATCTGTAGTCTTTGCAAGTGACCCCCTATCCCTGTAAAAGATCAAGATAGCAAAGTCCTTCTTGACTCCCTGGCAAGGGCAGGAGGTCAGTATCGACCCTTAGCGAGAGGTTTTGGTGGTACTTTAATGTGAAGTTTACTAAGAAATGTACCAGCTGGGAAGGCAGTAAGCCTGAGCCTGAGAAGGTGAGCAGTCACCCCATCCTGGACATCTGGGTCTCCACTCTTCTGGCCCAGTGCTTTGTAATCAAAAAGCCAGCTGTCCTGCATCTATCCATTAGTCCATCCATCCACCCATCTATCCATATATTCACCATCCTCCCATCTTCCCTTCCAACCATATTCCCATCTCTCTATTCATGCCTGTGCCCACAAATATTTAGGATGGTTGGTCTTGTGCTGGGCACTGAAAATACCAATTTGGCCCTTCTGTGTTTCTCACATGAGCTCCTTCAGACTCCTGTTCTGCCTCAAGGCTTCTGCCATCCGCTGGGCTCCTGTGGGCCCAATGCTATTTTTCTGTAGGCTGTGGGAGACAAGAGGGGTCCATCAGCAAATCTGACCACAGCTGTTGCCAGGCCAAGGACAGTTAGGTTCAGGGCAAGAGGTAGAGAAAAGTTGGAGCATGTCTCCATTTGTACAGCAGTGGGAAGGGGTCTCAGAGGATCTGGTGATGTTTTTATGTGGGAGAACAAGGGACAAAAGCAGCTGGGGCCTCCCACGTAAGTTGCCTGCAAGTGGCAATCAGTGGCTGCTGATAGCGCCAGCACCTCTTGCATGGGGGACCTACATGCACAAGACCTGCTGGGCCCTCATCTGTCAGTCTTCCATCTAGACCAGCTAATAGCCTGCCTCCCGCCTTGAGAACCTCTGGGGAGAGGGACAGGAGGATCAACAGGACAGAGCCTCCTACATGAGGCGGAATACTAGCCTTTAAAAAAATGTAATCTTTCAAAAAGGAAAGAAACAACCCCCACTCTCTTAGAGGACACATGAGGTTGCAAGTACTCTCTGTCCTGTTGAGAAATATGCAAGTCTCTTTAAGAGCTCAATCAACCTCCTGCCCATTTCACAGCCTAGGAATGTCTTTCTCAGAGTCTCAGTACAGGTAAAAATCTAGCAAGGGATGGTCCCTGTCTTCCTGCTTCTGTGGGAATTAGCCTGGGCACCTGTTGTGAGTACCTGCTTGTCATAAAGACAGAAAAATTTTTATTTTTCCCTTAGATAAAAGCAACTGGGGAAATAGATGATCACCTCCAATTATTTGGTGACTGTAGGATAAGCTATAAGTGACAAATGGTGTCATCAAGCTACTTAGGAGACTGAGGCCAGAGGATTGCAAGTTTGAGGTCAACCTGGTCAACTTGGCAAGACTCTGTCTCAAAATAAAAATAAGAAGAGCACTTACTTGGGGCTGGGGCTGGGGCTCAGTGTTAGCGCACTTGCCTGGCATGTGTGAGGCACTGGGTTCAATCCCTAGTACTACCAAAAAAAAAAAAAAAAGATGTTGTGTTTTCTTATAAGTTGTCATGTATCTTGAGAGTGTAAGGGATGGGTCCTATCTGCTGGGCTGCAGAAAAGGCCTGCAGCAGATTGCCTACAATGTGCACTGCAGTCCTGAATGCTTATTCAACAATAAGACTGTTGTGTTCGTTCCTACGTTTGTGGAGAGGGCTTTCTGGTTTGACAAGAGGTTTTATTTTCAGTAATTTCCCCACATCTATTCTCTGGAAAAGCAGAGAGCATCAAGTTATCCTGGGGCCATCCAGAGGGGTCAGAAAGCTTCAGCCTCACCCCATCCATTTCTCCTTGCAGGAAAAGAAGAGGCCAAACAGGAGAGAGGGGAGGTGGGAGAAGAGAGGGGAGGTGTGTTCACTCACTGCAGCAGGGAGAGGGTCTGGTTGGAGGCCAAGGACTCCGCCATGAACCTGGCACCATCGTCCTTG